CGACTCTCTGTGTTTGATCATCGCTGTCTCCGAAGGATTGCTGACATCCAATGGCAACACCATGTTAGTAATGCAGAAGTTCGGCATCGTGTGTTCGGGCACAGAGACGATAATGCAATTGATGTCATCATCTTGAAACATCAACTTCGGTGGCTTGGATACGTTCTACGAATGTCGTCCCAGAGAATTCCACGTCGTGCATTATTTGCCGACGCTGGGACTGGTTGGAAAAAGCGGAGAGGTGGTCAGTGTATGGCATGGTGTCGTGGTATGAAAGAAAGCTGCAAAGGGCTGGCTTCTGTTGGACCTCCAGGACTCCCTGGCTGGGGTCCGAGAGATGGTGCAACACAGTGGCTGGAGACGTTATAAGATATGGCTCAGAATAGAAGCTAATGGCGATCCTGCCGTAACCTTCTTTTACTTTCTTCATAAAAAGTGGTTGTAACTTCCTTAACTGAAGGAATTCCATCTGGTTGTACCTTTGTGTTTCCCCAATTTTTATTACACTACTATACATTAATCTGTGGTCGTTAGTGCCCTTCTTTTTTTTCTTATGCGCACCTTACCATCTTTTTCTCTTCCCATTCTCATAATTTTATGTGGCGCATATATATCTGGTGCCCCCTTGGACAAATATTTATGTGTTCAAATAAATAAAGGATCAAGAATAGTATATTGTAGTAGAAACCTCTACAAATCTAGGATTTGCCCTGGGCCGGACATTTCGATAGAAGGCTCATTGTGTGGCCCCCTAAGAAAACCACCTGCCTCGATCTGGGCCCCGTGCAGTATCGCAGCCCACACACAAACAAAATGAAGATGACGGTATTTACTGAAATCCCGCTCATAAGCACTGGATTTTTTCTGGTTCCTTACAACTCATTGGAGCTCGTCAGTCTATTCCGAGTGACCGTTTGACCACAAACGACAACTGTTACATAATGAAATTGACCAACGCCTGTGTAATGACCGGAAAGCCTGGTGGTCGGAGCGTGCTAATGAGCTGGAAGCAGCAGCTGCATCTGGTAACTACCGACAGCTCTTCCGACTCATCCGAGCCACTGGCAGCAAGAAGTTTTGTGTGAGCAAAATAACCTGTGAGGATGACGGGATGCCAATCACTAACATCCATCGACGTCTTGGACGATGGGCGTGAGTGATGAGATCAGTTCATGTATAATGAAAGCCAGAGAAGCTTATACCAATCTGGACCACCTTTGACGCCTTCGTGATGTCAGTCTGGTTGTTAAAGGTCGGATCTACAACGCGTTGGTGAGAGCAGTTCTGCTCTATGCTTGTGAAACCTGGCCTCTCCGAGTTGAGGATGTTAGACGACTCTCTGTGTTTGATCATCGCTGTCTCCGAAGGATTGCTGACATCCAATGGCAACACCATGTTAGTAATGCAGAAGTTCGGCATCGTGTGTTCGGGCACAGAGACGATAATGCAATTGATGTCATCATCTTGAAACATCAACTTCGGTGGCTTGGATACGTTCTACGAATGTCGTCCCAGAGAATTCCACGTCGTGCATTATTTGCCGACGCTGGGACTGGTTGGAAAAAGCGGAGAGGTGGTCAGTGTATGGCATGGTGTCGTGGTATGAAAGAAAGCTGCAAAGGGCTGGCTTCTGTTGGACCTCCAGGACTCCCTGGCTGGGGTCCGAGAGATGGTGCAACACAGTGGCTGGAGACGTTATAAGATATGGCTCAGAATAGAAGCTAATGGCGATCCTGCCGTAACCTTCTTTTACTTTCTTCATAAAAAGTGGTTGTAACTTCCTTAACTGAAGGAATTCCATCTGGTTGTACCTTTGTGTTTCCCCAATTTTTATTACACTACTATACATTAATCTGTGGTCGTTAGTGCCCTTCTTTTTTTTCTTATGCGCACCTTACCATCTTTTTCTCTTCCCATTCTCATAATTTTATGTGGCGCATATATATCTGGTGCCCCCTTGGACAAATATTTATGTGTTCAAATAAATAAAGGATCAAGAATAGTATATTGTAGTAGAAACCTCTACAAATCTAGGATTTGCCCTGGGCCGGACATTTCGATAGAAGGCTCATTGTGTGGCCCCCTAAGAAAACCACCTGCCTCGATCTGGGCCCCGTGCAGTATCGCAGCCCACACACAAACAAAATGAAGATGACGGTATTTACTGAAATCCCGCTCATAAGCACTGGATTTTTTCTGGTTCCTTACAACTCATTGGAGCTCGTCAGTCTATTCCGAGTGACCGTTTGACCACAAACGACAACTGTTACATAATGAAATTGACCAACGCCTGTGTAATGACCGGAAAGCCTGGTGGTCGGAGCGTGCTAATGAGCTGGAAGCAGCAGCTGCATCTGGTAACTACCGACAGCTCTTCCGACTCATCCGAGCCACTGGCAGCAAGAAGTTTTGTGTGAGCAAAATAACCTGTGAGGATGACGGGATGCCAATCACTAACATCCATCGACGTCTTGGACGATGGGCGTGAGTGATGAGATCAGTTCATGTATAATGAAAGCCAGAGAAGCTTATACCAATCTGGACCACCTTTGACGCCTTCGTGATGTCAGTCTGGTTGTTAAAGGTCGGATCTACAACGCGTTGGTGAGAGCAGTTCTGCTCTATGCTTGTGAAACCTGGCCTCTCCGAGTTGAGGATGTTAGACGACTCTCTGTGTTTGATCATCGCTGTCTCCGAAGGATTGCTGACATCCAATGGCAACACCATGTTAGTAATGCAGAAGTTCGGCATCGTGTGTTCGGGCACAGAGACGATAATGCAATTGATGTCATCATCTTGAAACATCAACTTCGGTGGCTTGGATACGTTCTACGAATGTCGTCCCAGAGAATTCCACGTCGTGCATTATTTGCCGACGCTGGGACTGGTTGGAAAAAGCGGAGAGGTGGTCAGTGTATGGCATGGTGTCGTGGTATGAAAGAAAGCTGCAAAGGGCTGGCTTCTGTTGGACCTCCAGGACTCCCTGGCTGGGGTCCGAGAGATGGTGCAACACAGTGGCTGGAGACGTTATAAGATATGGCTCAGAATAGAAGCTAATGGCGATCCTGCCGTAACCTTCTTTTACTTTCTTCATAAAAAGTGGTTGTAACTTCCTTAACTGAAGGAATTCCATCTGGTTGTAACTTTCGTTTTCACTCATTATTATTATTATATTATAATAATTCGATTTAGTTCGATTGAGATGATATAACTTATATACAGTAGTTCCGGTAATAAGACGCGTTAAAACAATCGTCGACGGTATTCTGTTGTCCATTCAAATAAATTGTTACTAGTCATTTAAGCATATACATGCCTCTGATGATATACTTTGACGCTAATCCATATCTTGTTTCATGTAGAACGGCTGAGTCACTGAGTGTTTATCAAATTATTAGTAGACGCCAACGTTTCAACATGTTTATCAACAAAGGTGAATAAAAGTTTACCTAAGCATTGTTGGGGTGTCCAGAACCTCTGTTAAACAAGCAAAGAATCGGAATGCATCTTTACCAACTGACTTTTTATTCATTCCTCCAAAAAATTATTGTAAATAATCTTGAAGTGTGATAATAGAAATGCTAAAGTATACAACAAAAGATGATTTCTTGAAACAAAAGAGAATTACAAGGATGTCATAGAATGAAATGCACTACATGTTAATTACTAATGTTCCTGCAATTTTTTATACATATTGACAGAAGTACTAATGTCATAACACAGATAACTGGAGAAAAAACCGTGCCGTAAGTAAAATTACTTTGGCTTATATAAACTAATTTTCGGAAAAGTAATAATTTGAAAGCAAAAATACAAAAATCAAAAACTAATTTATAAGTGGTATCTAAGATGACAGATGACCACGGCGGAGAAGGTAGATAATCAGGACGAAATCCATGATGACAGAGATTTTGACGTACAACCTAAGGGGAAGAAAAATCCAAATTACTTTATGTTCACAAGAAGAGACATGAGCACATGTAAAACAGTATATTTCGTCTGAACTTACTTTGTGATAATGTATACGTCTGAAAAATATCACAAGATTAAAATAAGAGACAAGAGCATCGGCACACCATAACGGCAAAAAAACCCACCATAGGACTATCTCCTTTTGATTTGTACACAGTATATCCAAGATCTTTTCATCCCAAAGAACAGCTATACTTAAGCTGAAAATAATTCCAACTATGTGAATAGACAATTCAAATGGAGTGATATGGAGCCAATTTACCAAGTCATTGAGAGATATAGTCATTCGATGAGTTTAAGGGTTGGATGAATGTTGACAGGTTTTAATTAAGGTGGCATTCAAAACCTATGAATAAACATTAGTAAATATTCGATAGTGTAACAATGAAAAACCGAATGAGGACAATAAAGCTAGCAAGTCAATTTTTTATGCGGGATCTTTCATCAACCTTTATTTGTTGACAGGATTTTGAACGTTGCTATCTTAGTATTCCATCTGGGCCATGCAAACTCAAGACGTATAAAGTACCGTTCGATAAGAACCACTGCCCAGTCAGCGCTATAAAATATAGTGCTGATATTAATCTAAACAAATAATACTTAGCATTATTTATTGTGGAGTTTATTTACGGTTTATATTACGACGAAAGACTAATTCAATCCTTTGAAATTCCATGAAATAATACAGTAATTCAAGGATGCGTTTACATTAACACTGTCATGAATTTGTTAATTACTCACTAGTAATATACATCAAGTATTCTAGAATAATCATTTAATTAAATTCTGTCTAAACAGCCAACATAACTAATTAGGCTCATGCTGCGACCTTAAATTCCCTTTTATCGTAAACTAGATTTAAAAGTACCTTAGGTACACGGTTTAGAGAAGAGTAAAGCAGACAAGCAATTCAATTTTGACAGAACAACATTGTAATAAGCATGTGATCATTTCTTGTAAAACAATACAGGCTATGGAAAGGGGATTTTGTACAGAATAATTTCAATGAAAATGGAATATATAGTGAATTATTCAATTGGATGAATCAGATCATCATCCCTTGAGTTCGGTAGATTAGGTAATGCACAGTGTTCACTAGTATCATTATCGTTATTAGCACCAATGTTAGACTGTATGTTAGTCTTGTCGTAACCGCAGTTTGCTTGTTGATCAGCAGCACCGTCGGTATCAGGAATAGAACTCGGAACTTCCTCGTCATCAGACAATTCGATAAAAATCCCCTGTTCACATTGTGGTGAGCTACTGAGTTTTAGTGATCCTGGTCGAGGTACCAAACTATCTGGATGAAGTTTTTCCATATCAGGACAAATTATTTTATCAGCAGGTGCTTGACTATTATCGTTTTCATGCTGACTATCACCAGTGCTATCAATATCATCATCGTCGCATAAATTTACTTCTGTTTTCTCCCCGAAAGTTTTTGGTAAATGACATGAACGACCACTGTTAGTAATACCAATATTATTTGTATTTCCACTTGATATTATTTTTAATTTATCTTTTGCATTGGCATCATCGTCTCCAGTGAATGTTACTGAAGCGGGCATACCAGGAAAATCTGCGTACATATCTTCTAATAATTCTTGTAGATTTTGTACTACTGTAATTAAAAGACAACAACAGTAGTTGTAGTTAATCGACTACAATTAATTCGACATTTTGAAATGTTAACGGATAGACATGGTACAATAAGAAAGGACAACGGATGAGTAGTTGTTATCAAAGAAAATCATGATAAGGTCATCTACGTAAACTTATACAATAGTTTACTGGATATGCTCTAACGAAATAAAGCGATTCTACATGATAAAAGGAAGTTGAACAGAAAAAAACCGTAGAGTCATATGAAAATGCTACAGAATAAATGCATACAAAAAGTTCGAAATCTAAGGTCATGCTAGCAAAAAGAAATGTTGGGGGAATGGAACTGTATCGAAATGTTCACTATAAAATCATCCTTCTCTTCACTGTGACTCAAAGCGAATGATATTTCAGCTTATTACATAAACATGAACTCGGCTACCATAGTTCCTTGGAAAACTTAACAAAACGTTAAAGAAAACAGAATTCAAAGTTTTGTCTTTATGTAAGGATGAATGTAACTATGCGTGTAGCTGCTATAGAGTTACTTTCGGTCACAAGCCCGGGTAAGGTAGAAGGGTTAGGCATGGCATCAGGAACTCAATTAAGTAGGAAACAATCTTGCCAAAAAAACGCTAGTCAAAATAAACCATTTAAACTTTGCCCTCCGAGCTGAAGGATTTTCATTCAGAAAAATTATGATGCCTCATGGTGAAAGCCGAGATTCTCCGGAAGTCACGAGGCCAATGCCTCTTTTAACGACCAGAGCAGCAATTATTATAGGTACATGGAATGTCCAGACAATGTGAGAGACTGGGAGGACCAATCAAAAAGTTGCAAGAACGAGATACAACTTGGTGGTGCTCGGATTAAGCGAAACCCAGTGGATCCAAGCTGCACAAAAAGGCTACGTTCCAGAGAGATGGAATGGACAACACTAGGTACCAAGATAACATGGGACGACATGGACTGACTGAGAGAAAGGAATGAGAATGGGTAGAAATGTGCAAATTTATGTACATTTAACAAAGTGGTTATAGGAAGCACTATATTCTTTCACAAACACATACACAAAGCTACATGGATCTCACCGGATCAAAAAAGAAATCTAGATCGACCATCAGAAGGCCAATGAGAGATGTGAGAACAAGGAGAGGAGCTGACATAGCTTCAAATCACCACCTGGTAGTTGACAAGATAAAGTTGAAGCGAAAGAAGCATTGGACAACTGGACAAACAGCATTACAAAGGTTCAACACAGCCTCCCTTAGAGATACTGACAAACTCAACGAATTCAGGATAGCTCTCAATAACAGGCACCAAGTCTTACAAGATATACTCAAAGAAGAAGAAACTACTATGTAGGACAACAGGAAAGCAACCAAAGAAGCACTAACTTCAACGTGTCATGAGGTACTAGACCGCAATAAGCATCATCATAAGGAATGGATCTCTATCGAAACCCTAGACAGCAATTAACAAAAGCCCAACAACAACAGAGAAAGTCAAGGCGAAAGTTGAATATACAGAAGCGAACAAGCAAGTGAAGGAGAGCATTAGAGCAGACGAGCAGAAATACATGAAAGAGTTAGCAACGACAGTGGAAAAAGCTGAAAGAAAAGGGAATATAAAACAATTATATGATACGACGAAGAACCTGACATGGAAATATAGTAAACCAGAGAGACTGGTCAAAGACAGAGGAACAGATGGACCAGCTCTATTGAATCCACCCAGCATCGAAGAAGCACCTAAAGACCTTCCTATAGATGTCACTCCACCAACGATCAAAAACATCAAGATGGTCATCAGATAAATCAAGAGTGGGAAAGCAGCAGGACCTGACAATATACTGGCCGAAGCACTAAAGTCAGATATAGAAGTAACTGCAAAGATGCTCCACGTTATATTCTGGAAGATTTAGGAGGAAAAACAAGTGCCACTAACATACTGGAAAGAAGGATACCTCATCAAGATACCAAAGAAAGGGAATCTTAGCGAGTGTGAGAACCACAGAACCATCACACTACTACCAGTACCAGAAAAAAAATTCAAGTGTTGCTGAATCGAAAGAAAGATTCACTAGACGTCCAGCTTCGAGATCAACAGGTTGGATTCCGTAAGGACCGGTCGTGCACAGACCAAATTACCACACTATGGATCATCGTTGAACAATCAATTGAATGAGACTCGTCGCTATACATCAACTTCACTGATTACAAAGAAGCTTTGACAGTGTGGATAGGATGACCCTTTGGAACATTCTTCGACACAATGGTTTATCTGAGAAAATCGTCAAAATCATCCGGAATTCACACGACGAACTACACTGCAAAGTGGTGCATGGAGGACAGCTGGCAGATGGATTCCAAATAAGGAACGAATTCAGATAAGGCTGCTTACTCTACCCCTTCCTCTATCTTCTGGCTGTTGAATGGATTATGAGGACCTCGACATCCGAGGGAAAGCACGGAATACAACGAACAGTTTGGATGCTACTAGACCATTCGGGCTTTGCAGATGATCTGGTTCTTTTATCTCATACACACAAACGGGTGCAGGTCAAAACAACCACTGTAGCAGAAGCATCTGCATCAGTAGGTCTCAACATACACAAAGGAAAAAGCAAGATCCTTAATACAAGACAGAGAACACCAACCTAATCACACTCGATGAAGAAGCTCTGGAATAGGTGCAAAGTTTCTCGTACTTAGGAGTCGTCATCAAAAAACAAGGAGGATCTGATGCAGACGTAAAGGCGATCGTTAGTAAAGCAAGGACACCATTCCTACAGTTAAAGAACATATGAAACTCAAAAGAACTGTTAACCAACATCAAAGTCAGAATCTTCAATACGAATCTCGAGACAGTTCTACTGTACGGAGCTGAAACTTAGAGAACTACTACAACCATCACCAAAAAACGTACAAGTATTTATAAATAATCATCTACGCAAGATACTCAATATCCGTTGGCCGGATGCCATCAGCAACAGCCTACTGTGGTAGAGAACAGATGAACTTCCAGCTGAGGGGCAAATTAGGAAAAGACGTTGGAAATGGATAGGACACATATTGAGAAAATCATCAAACTGCATCACGAAGGAAGCGCTAACTTGGAATCCTGAAGGGAAACGAAAAGGGACTAAGAACATATTGCTTCGGGAGTTGGAAGCAGACATGAAAAGGATGAATAGCAACTGGAAACAAATGGAAAAGATTGCCCAGTACAGAGTTGAATGGAGAATGCTTGTGAGCGGCCTATGCTCCTCCATGGGGTGTAACAGGCGTAAATAAGTAAGGATGAACCTAATCTACTTATTCCGCCTAGAAATTTGAACAGCCTCAGTAACGCTCATTTAATGATATTATTCTATACGAGTAACAGTTCAGAAACACTAATAATCACATAACCTACAGACATTTTGAAGCTTATCAATAATATACATCAGAGAGAAGGTTAAGTTTACTATGAACAGAATAGTAGTGAAAGTTGTAACTAACAAATATTTCAGATTGATTTATTCGATTTTAAACTTAATCATTTTAGCGAATTGAGAAATTACGAAAGCATTCTAATTCGACATCGGTTTCCAGGAATAGATTTATGAATCAAAGCAACAAGTTTTGCTAACGAAGGACTCGGAGCGTCATAGGAGACATAAACAACGTTTCAACATTCCCTAGCAATATATTAAATAAAATATGAATAATGTAATAAGAGTACCATATATGCTTATTTATGTGTGACATGTTAATGAATAATAAATAAGCAAAAGACCACTTTGCTTATAACATTGAGCAGTTATAGACAGACCTGTACGTGTAGCTTCTCTTGCCCTTGGATCCTTAGGTAAAGCAATTCGTTTACGAGCTCCTGTTTGGATTAATTTATTAGATAGGCAAATAGCCAAATTTCTAGTACGAACTGGGTCCAGTTGATTTTGGTGTGTGGTACTACTAAGAGCAGCTTCAGCGACTTCGTACAACGTTTGTTCGACAATTAAAGCTTGTTCAAGTAATTTCAAGCGATCTAATAGGAATGCTTGAGCTTCAGTTGATTCAGAAGGAGTTTGACGAGAAGTGGATGATGTGCCATGTGAACCTTCAAAAGTAAATTTACATAAATAAATTGTACATTTAAAACAGGAATTCTATTTAATAAATATTTGCGCATATTCAATAAATCTTACACAATCAAAGACCTTTTACATCATTAATAAGTAGTTCAAGAGTGATAATTAAAAAAAGTCTTTTCAACTTACGAAAAAATGCACAACTATATTTGTAAACAATGTACAGAAGTAATACCTTGTTATAATGTAGATTAGTGGTTAAACACCTGACGAAAGTAATAAAAATGGTAAAGCAGAACAACCACGTCCAAATAACGTATTATCACGTATGTAGAATAGGAAGTGTAAAGATCATGTGTTAAGATGGGAGCGTGAACATATTAGTTTTTAAGAAAGAGTTGAGGAGTTAATTGGTGAACTGAAAAAAACAGGTGTTGAGATGCACATCTTAGATATCCAGTTACACGTGATAATCAAGAGTTATTATTTGAAAAGAAAATGATGAGTTACAAAATGCAGAAGAATGAGATATAAGCGACAGTAACAACGGGTGAAGAACAAAGTTATTTATGATCAGCATAAAGTAAAAAGATTGGAGGATTTTCAAGAGAATAACACTTGCTACGTAAGAGATTACCATCAAAAGTCAATAACCCATTTGCAATTACAAATATTTTGATAGAACTAGTGATAAATCAGACTTTCAGTAGAGACATTGATATTAATTGGGTATACGGGTCTATTTAACTAAGACGTCTGAAACGAGAAATGCTTTTTCTATGATTATTATTTTACGAATATTTAGGAGAAAAAGAAATGAATAACTATCAAAATAAAAGTACGCTCAATACTTACTTAAATCAGCATTCATAAGCTTATGCATACCCTTTAGAACTCCTGACAATCCAAAATTAAGAATACGAAAACGTGGATCAGCTAATATATCAGCCCATCGAGAATAGCCATGAACAAGTATGCCAGCAAGAAGCCAGTAATCATGACGTGAATGCCATATTCTCTGGGTTTTTATTATTAACTCTGAATTTCTCGCTATTTCTGAATGAGATTGAATTGTTTGACAAATATTACTGATCTTTGTACATTCTTCATTCCACACAGAACGTAATAACGTCAAACCACCTTCGTGTATAGCAAATTTGAAAGTGGGACTTTGAATCTTTAAAAGAAATTGAAGGGAGCATACAAATCATTGCAGAATGTAATTATTTCTTACATATTTGCTTATAAGTTGCAAGAAAATATATACGTTATTTCACAAAAAATTGATTGGCAGAAAGTGAATTTCGAAGAACTGACATCAACTGTAGTACTACTTATTTCTAAATGTTCTGATTTCTCAATACTCTCCAGTACAGATGACTGAGTTTTACAAGTTTGAGCTAACAACTGACATTCTCTTTTAGTAGTCAGTATGGATTAATTTATGATGTAATTGACTTAACATTTCCAACGATTATAATCGAATATTTATTCTCAATTTCAGCGAAATCATCAGTTAAAGACACAGCCTCTCTTTACAACATTGGATTATTATCAGTTTCTATAGAACTCAATCAAATTAAATCCTACGTTGAACTAATGAACACGAAGTTATTTTATTTGGTAGCTTGCACATAGCGCCGAGTTTTGAACCGAAATGTCGCTAAATATGATACCCAGTTACCATGGCGAAAAAGACTCTTTCTTCCTAGACGTACAGACAGCTGTTCGATTTCGCCTGCAGATTTGATTATTAAACTTGTATAATAATTAAGGATAAATACTTGCATCCAGATAATAGAACAATAAGACTAACATCAGTAGAAATACTTGTCGGTCCATTTACATCTTCATATTGTAATACTTTATTTCTAATCAACGCCATCACTGCAATACGTGAAAGCACCGCAGGAACACATAAATGTTCTTTAGGTAAACCATCGGACCAACTAAATATAAAATAAAAAGACACAGAAAATGAATTAGAAAGAAAATCAAAAACGATACGTCAATTCTGAACTACGGATGTGTGACATTAGAAAGTTGGGAAGAGAAGACCAGAAAAATCGCACCCTGATAGAGTTATAAGATCTTTAGTGTTTTAGAATTCTGAATCAAAATTTATGCGACTAATTAGTGTTGCATTCATAAATAAACACTTGTTTTTAGAGAATTCACTCATTTTGTCTTTGATGGAAAAACCCAACGGTGAAAGTGAAAATTCATTTTGCATGAAGTTTAATAGAATGTTCTTAATACAGTTAAATGGAACGAGCAAACATCAAGCCTCAATCAGCCTTTAATTAATGGTCGGTAATAAAACGATTGTCGAGAATATTTTAGGCTTTTTTTCTAAAGTATATACTAATTTTTCTAGCTGTACGAAATGATTTATCCATGACAAATATCGCTGATGAGTTTAAATACTAGCTTGATTAAGTTACTGGCTGATAAATTCAGCAGAGATTGACTGCAAGTTTTACAAGGTGACACGTAATTACTTATATCCTTTTTGATCATTAGAAAAAGAAATGTAGAATAGAGATTTATGCATACACAATCAACTATCCGAATAATTTACAAAATAAAACACCAGAATGCCTACCTTTCTTCAGATTCATCTAATCCATTCGGGTCATCGTATAAATGTTTCATGTACAGACATACGTAACCAAACAATTGAAATTGAGATTTATAATATAAGGCTGGCGGAAGCCAGTCTTGAGGTGGGACAATACCAGGTGGTGGAAGACCGAACCTAAAAATTTTAAAGAAAATGTAGATAAAGTAGCATTGAAGAATCTTAGTGAGTCCAATTTCTTCGTTAAAACATTAAGTCGAAATATCACTCCGTCTGACGTCTATTTGGCTTCTTGACAACGATCATAGATTAGCGTTTCTCTCAGTAATTCAATGTTTCATAAATAGCTTATAACGTTTCCCATATCAAAATTACTAATGATGCAATTAATGGATAGCATTCTCTTTTGATGTATGGACCATGATATAGCAATTTAGATTATTAGTTCACCACTATAATTAGGCTCTACTAAATCACCGATGGACAAGAAGTATAATGTCGTATCGATATATACGATATCCTAGCAGAGTCCATTCATTATTCGCTAAAAAGTCATTAGTAAGAACTAGGCCTTTCTTATAGGAATACATGTATTGAACTAGATTAATAATTCCCTTGAAATTGTCCACATGGTTCATTTACGTATGCGAATGAATGGTTTAGATCATATTACATTGTTTCAGATACACGATAATGAAAAATTTCAAAAAAACAAATACAGAATCAGTAGTTTTCGTTATCAAACAGAGTTAGTGATAGCTATATGTTCATTGTTTTTTAATCAATAGTTTAGGACCCAATTTACCATCGTACAGCATGAAAATGATTCAGCATAAAAATACACTTTGCAGCGTGTACAAATTGTTTTTAATAAATGAAACACAACATTTCAGAGATTCATTTGATTATCAGTAAACATATAAAGTTTAAAAGTATTGCTAATCACTACAGAATAATTAATAAATTCCTTTATACAAAAATGAAATAAACTATGGTTTAGATGTTCTACCTTTATACAAAAGTAACAATAGTAATAATTTAAGTGAGTTTTTTAAGTTCGTTATTCATGAAAACTGTCAACATAATGCTGGAGACTTTTAGATCATTCACGGATATTTCTTCTAACTCCATAATTAGCTGATAAGCTCAGTTGAATCTTAACCAAATAGCTTTCTGTTGATCACTTCAATCTTCATGATACAAGTGATTTCTTAATGGGAATGATATCCAGGAATTCACGTGAGATACTATGTCAAACTTCAAAACTTGTCACTAAAAATGTTGTCTGCAGACAACAATAGTGGGAAAAACAGGTGACGCGAAAATCATAACCACTAAATGGATTAGCTGGGGCTTATTGTAATTTATTAAGAATAATAAAAAGGTTGTTGTTCTGGTCATCAAGTTCAAATATTCCGTTACAAGTAATAAAGAAATTACTGGTAGATAATAGAAAAATATCCTAATGCGATGGTGAACCTAACGAATGAATATTATGAAAATGAAGAATAGACGCCAAATGATTCACAAGATATGATATATTTCAGCACAATACAAAGAATGAAAAAATGACAAAAACAAAACAAGGGATTATGTTCATCCCAAAAAATCCCATCTTTATAATTTCAAGAGGCGTAATTCTATAGAACAATATCTGAGAAATTACCTCATAACTGCGTTGTTGAATAATTGACGATCATTAGGGCCAAAGTTATATATAAATAACTCATCCCGATGCCATGTGATATGCTGACCAAGATCGGAAACTCGTGCTCTCCATTTGGCATAAGTATCAGCTGTGGGATACCAACAAACTGGATTGACTGCATTAGCAGATGATTCCCAGAGAAGAAACTCTTCACTGTCACTGCTGTCAACAATAGCTTCAGAAGTTGGCAAAGACGTATGAGTGCTAGACCTTCGAGTACGCTGTATGAGGTTAATAAATCCATACATTATTCAATTTATACAGTAATTAATAAATGTTTGCTTTGATAATTCAAAAACATTATCAATGTCAATCGCTAATCATTAAAATACAGCTTCATGGAACAAATACGTAGATGATTTATGGTTGGGATTACCTGACCAACTGGATCGGTGACTTAAACAACTCATCATGAAAACAAGTTCCATCAGGGACGTACATTTTTACAAATTCACATTACACTGCAATAATATGCACCAAAGACGTGCGGAAAAATGAATAACTGCATAGTAAATAAAGAAATAAGTTTTATATACAATTGAAATTAAGTTACTTTTCCATTTTATCAGGGCTCTGTTGATTAGGCATTTTTATCTAGTACTAGGTGATCTTCGCTTTGTAATGACTATAGGTTTTATGTTATTTTCTTTATGTCACTCGTGTTGTAATTATTATCCTGAAAATTACTGACATCGTTTTTTCCGATTTGTAGAACCCTAATAATTCTATAAATCAGTATGATCAGGAAATCATTTTTGAATAAGTATGAAACTATCTAGATTTTACTCGTGGGGGACTCTTTTGAGGGTGAACACGAGTGAGCAAACAAATGTTTAGATAGACGTAAAACAAATCTGAGTGGTAATTGTTCACACAACCCAATTACTGACACTAGCTCTCAAATGGAATGATAAAAGAGGATAACACAACTAGGCAACAGACAGTGTTATTTTCACTAGTTGACATACCAATACGCAGCAGTAAAGTGAAAAAAAACTGATGATCACATTCTTTTCCTGCGTGTTTTGGTTACTAGGCGAATAGTATAAAACGAGCATTCCCGATATATTAAACCCATTAAATTATGGAATAGAAAATCTTAAGTGTGATATCAATAACAACAAAAACTCACACTTGATGCTAGTGAATCTTTAACTGGTTCGACTGAATCAGTTCCGTCAGACGGCAGATAAGGGGGATCATCATCACTAGTAATGTCTGGCATAGAGCCTTCCTCTAAAGAATCTTCGAAATCTGTGACGTGGTAAGTATTAGACTTCTCAAAAGCATTTCGATCATATGGTTTTTTAGAAGTTACTCTTGATGACCGAGCTCGTTTGACAGAGGCAGGCATTGGTTTAGATGAACAGGGTCTAGCTTTTGGTTTTTGATGACCCAAGTTCCCATATTTGTTTTGGAGTTCAGCAACTAACAATTCCAGTTTTTCATCCTCAAATCCATGATAAAGATTGAAAACCTTACGTCTTTCTTGCCGGGACAAACGTAACTTAATCACTTCACGTACAGCTTTGGTTCTATCAAACAGTTTTTCTTTATCACTAATAAATGAATCAGTTGAATTTTCATCATCCTTTTCTAGTTGTAATTCTTTGTTCAAATCACTAGAATTATCACCTACTACGTCTCTAATACTTTGGTTATGCATGGTTCGATGGTTTCTTCTGGATTCGCTTGTCGCTTCAACTTCAGTATTCAAGAGACGCTCATAGCGTTCATGTAGCAGTCTGTCCCAAAAATCAGCAAACCCGATAGACTAAGAAACAGAAAATTAAAAGTTGCAAACAATTTCACTGATATAACATTTTGTGGATAAACGATGCGAATCACAAAATTGCTAATAAATAGTATATTGTTTTCGAATTCGTTAACACACCATCAGCAATAAAAAGAAATTACCAAGTACGCCAAATATTAATTAAACTTCGACTGCAGTGTCCCTTAGAACACTGCTGGTCCCAAGCGCGGGCAAGGGAGTAGGGTTGGACGTAGGGTCGGCGATAACACTTTGTCAGTCAATAAGTTGCAAAGTATGTACTTATGTACACCGGTTTAAGCTACTACACCCCACCGCCCCCGAATGCCCTGATACGGCCGAGAGTAGGGAGAGTCAGCTCTACCTTTCGAAGTGCTCCCACATGACCACGTGCATACAACCACTGCCAGGGAGGTCCTACTCATTGCCTTCTCGTGGCGGGGGTGATGTTTGCGAAATTGAGAGGACGAAAAGCGAATGTCCGGCGCTAAAACCGGGTTAGTGGACACGGAGAGTCCACCTAAGGGAGTTGGAAAACCCCAGTTCCAAACCAGTAGTGCACATGGGCTTCAGTATCCTGAGGGGACAAATGGCGTAAGAATTAATCGTTGGTCACCGGCTACCATGGGACTGCATCTCCTTACGTTACTCTACTACCTTGGTCAAAGGCTCCGGGTGTGGCCCCTAAGAAAATCACCTGCAACGGTTTGAGCACCCGGCAGTATCCCAGCCCTCACACAAATCGAATGATTTATGTGGCGCATATCTACTTGGTGCCTCCTTGTACCAATGTTCATTTGTTTAAATAAATAACCATACCCCACCAACATAAAGATGAAATCGTTAGACCGAAACGCAGAGAAATATAGGTGGTAACAGTACCAGTGCTGATAGAAAAGATTAGGAATGTAAGACACGATCCAAGAAAACACAGATTAGTGAAATAATAAAAAATTATAAGGACTTCAGAAGCTCAGAATTCGGGGGAAGTCAGAATGGAAGTACTTGTACTATTCCAAACGGTTTTGAGCCGTGTTATTGCAAGTCTCTAGCGATTGATTACGATAATCATGCGGACTCCAAACAGATAGTCTATGCCTATTAATATGCTTCAGTTTAAGTGTTAATGATTTCATGGGCTGGTGCTATGTTTTGATCTGGACGCCCCTCCCTGGCTTTCTTCCAGCATGTTCTTATACCAGACATCGCCCGTCGGGGTAGGCGGTGGTTGGACATATGTCCCAACCACTTCAACTAATGAAGACTAATTACCTTACCAATCAATTTGCGATCCTTACCCAGTACCCTATTCCTAACCCAGTCACAGATTACTCCGTAATCCCAAAGTACACGACCAACACTTCGAAGACAGCTATGATCGAATACTAATAACCTACGAATATCCTCTACTATTCGCGGTCAGTTTCCCCACCCATAAAGTAGGACGGAGCGAACTGCTGCATTGCAAACTAACCTTTCGGTTGGCAGATTGATATCGCGTTTACGCCACAAATGGTGAAAGTTGATAAAACCACTCCTTATCATTAGTTCAAGCGTTGACGCAGACCCGTCCTGGAGCAACATTTTGTATTAGGTGAGAGAAAAACGCATCTCAGACACGTTTGCGTGGTTGCCTAAGGTGGTCAGAGTTGTCGGATTCTTCGCCATCATCGTCTGCGTATTCCAAGTGAGCAAGATAATCTCCTGGTAGATCAACTCGTAAAACGCCAGACGATGTGTGTCATCACTAAAAGAATGCTTATGACAAAGTTAAATAGAAATAGGGAAAGCGGACAAACTTGACGAACAGCTTTTGAAGTTGTCAGTTTTTGTGACAGTTGACCATAAACTCTGACTCAATCAGTATTGTTCGAATAGAGAGCTTGCACACGGTTTATGTACTTTTTTGCACCTTTCAATGATAGACGGTGCCAGAGAACCTCACAGTCAAATGTTAAACGCTTCCTTAAGTTCAAGAAATAAAACTGATTTCGAACATCAAAAAGTTTTTGTGTACCAAAACCTAGTGAAGGGTGAACGTTTAGTCTATACACCCACAGTCAGTCAGTCAGTCAGTAACAACGTAGAACTTCGTACGTACGTACATCAGTTCAAGTTGCCACACCACATTAGCACAGAGATGCAGTGGTCGATTCAAATCCCGTAGTGGTAGAGGTAATAAGAGTATAAGCAGTAATCAGGAAAATTATTGTTTGGAGATGTTACTTAAAGAGTATAATACAGTGAAAGAAATTTAGGAAGAGATAAAAAAGAGACAAGGAGGAATAAGGAGATGAAAATTTGTGAGAACACAAAGATTGTATGCACCTGCGCCATTGCAAACGATTTTGAGCCATGTCATTCAGGGTCTCTAACCATCGGTTTCTATCATCTCGCGGTCCTCAACCAGGTAGTCTACACCTACCGACATGACTCAGTCCACTTGTCAGTCACTTCACGGATTTGTGCCATCTTTTGGTCTGGCCGCCCATGGCTTTCTTCCAACCTACTCCTATACCACTGAACATCGCATGTCGAGGCAGTCGGTCGTTGGGCATGCGTAACACGTGTCACAGCCATCTCAACTGATGAAGTTTCACTACTTCATCAATTGATTTGCCATCCTTACCTAGTACCCGTTTCCTAACAACTGTGTTACTTACTCGATGGTCCCATGATATACGAGCAATGTTTCGAAGACACCTATGATCAAATACTAGTAGCCTACGGATATCCTCTACTCTTACCGGCCATGTTTCACTGCTATAAAGTAGGACGGAACGAACTGCTGAGCAGTAAACACGTCCTTTGGTTGATAGACGGATATCTCGCCTACGCCATAAATGACGCAAGTTGGCAAAAGCTAGTCGAGCCTTCTGTATCCGCGCTGAGATTTCGTCACACACTAAACCACAAGGGCTGATGAGACTTCTAAGATAAGTGAAGCGGTCGACACACTCAACTACTTCACTCCCTATCACTAGTTCGGGTGTCAATGTAACCCAATCCTGAAGCAACATTTTGCATTTCGAGGGAGAGAATCGCATCCCGAACATGCTTGCATTGTTGCTTAGAGTGGTCAGAAGACTCTGCATTTTGTCAGCGTCTTCACCAAATAAAACTATGTCATCTGCATATTCTAAGTCAACAAGTGAACCTCCCGGTAAAACTTCAACCCCTGGAAATACAGACGAGGAAAGTGTTATTTCTAAAAGTACGTCAACGACAAAGTTGAACAAGAATGGGGAGAGTGGACAGCCCTGACCAACACCACTTGGGGTAATCAATTCTGATGACAGTTCGCCATAAGCTCTCACTCGACCAGTTGTGTTCGAGTAGAGAGCCTCTATAAGGTTAATGTACTTCTTTGGTACTCCTTTCAGTGACAAACACAGCCATAGAACCTCACAAGAGGACTTTTGTTCTTTCTTATAGACTGGCACAATCAGTGATTGAGACCAGTCAGATGGGATTACGTCCAGTTCCCAAATCCTACCTAAGACCTCGGTTAATCTCATTGCTAATGCTGGACCACCATCCTTAAAAATCTCAGGAGTAAACCTGTCAGGGCCTGCTGCTCTCCCTCGTTTCAGATTTCCTATAGCTTTTTCAACTTCGTAAAGGGACGGAGGACCTACATTAACTTGCCATTCAGGTTGACTAGAGATCGTGGGAAACCGAAGTGTGGATGAAGGCCAGTTGAACTGATCCCTGAAGTGTTCTGCCCATCGATCCAATCTCCTAGATTGAGAATGAATAATATGTCCATCTTTCTCTGAGATTGTTTCGCTAACGGTCGTGTTCCTAATTCCGGTTTCCTTAACGAGTCTGAACAATTGTCTTCTATTACCTATTGCCGCTGCCTTGTCCATCTCTCTTGCTTTCGCTACCCACCACTGTTCGCGATCATTGCGTAGACTTCTTGTCAGCTTGCGCTTAAGCTGACTCCGCTCTTCATTATGTTCAGAGCCAGGTGGAATGAGCTTCCGAGCATCTATCAGTGACATAGATGCTGCTGAGATCCAGTGTTGCTCCCTAACCTTCTGGTTTACCTTACTAGCAGATATCACTGCTGTTTCCACAGCTTTTCGGATATCATTCCATGCTGCCTCAGGATGGGCATCACATAAATGGCTCCCTAACTGTTTTCCTAGTTGTTCCTGAAATATACTCTTAGCTTGACTATCATTAAGTAGGCCCCTAAGAGGTTTCCTTGCAGCGTCTTTCCTACGTCCAGTAAGACGCAAGCAAATACGCGCTCGCACTAGAGCATGATCTGAATCTAGGCATGTGCTCCAGAATGAGCGACAGTCTTCTATCGAGCCCCTCCATCGGTGGCTGATAGCGATGTGATCTATTTGGGTCCAACGTTGGGACGAATTAGGGGGTCTCCATGTTAAAAGATGTTTTTCCTTATGTTTAAAGTTAGTATTTGCAAGGAACAGGCAGTTATCTGAGCATAGCTGCAACAGACGGTCGCCATTATCTGTTCTTTGAGCCACGACACCATAAGATCCACCTAGGTGTCTTTCCCTATCGCTTAGTTTACCTACTTGAGCATTAAAGTCACCGGCCACTATTACTACATCCGAGCGCTTAGCTTTTCGGAGAAGGTCCGAAAGCTTTCTGTAGAACTCATCCTTTACATCATCTGAGCTGCAGTCAGTGGGAGAATAGGCAGAGACGACGAAGAGGCAACGACAAGTGTCCCTATCTTTCCGGATTCTTACTGTTCGTTCAGTCGGATAGCGCACAAACGACTGTCTACTGGGATCCACTCTAAGAGAGCTAGTTCTGCCCTAGGACTCAATGCTATACCTACGCCGGCGAGGCCACGGGAAGCAGAATCCGGGCTTCCAGATACACCAAGTGTGAATCGAGTCGGTTCTTTATTTTGGCATGGTGAGGTCAAATGAATGATGCTACTTGGATCCTGTATGCGCGTTTCGGAGACGCAGCACACATCGATGGCGCGAGATTCTAAAGTTTTAGCTAAGGAAGCCTGCTGTCCTATTTGGCAAAGTGTTCGTACGTTAAAAGCTCCTACGTGTAGTTTAGAGCGTGGTTTCAGGAGACCAGGAATGGCGTTCCACGTACTCGAATCGTTTGCCCTAGCGGTGCGAGGTGATAAAGAGACGTGAGGTGGGTTAGTCATAGAGATAAGAGAGGAATTAGGAGGTGTAGGAAGGATTGGAATGTGACCAACTTGGTCTCGTGTGCTGTTACGGGTATGAGGACTGATATCACTTCCAGGCTGCCCACACCGTGGAAGGGTATTTCTTGAGAAACCTGAAAAGGAAATTGGATTAGTGTTGGTCTTGACGACCTGGGAGCGTGACCGCAGAGCCCAAGGGACAACTGCTTCAGGCCGGTCGCGCACGGCCTTTTTGTGGAAGGTTTTTGACGTGTTAGCTCCGTTCTTCAAAGGGCCTTACCGCCGGAGACGGAAATCCATGAGGTAAGGTGAGGTGTGACATTTTTAGGGTCGACCTTTTCTAACCCCACCCCTCCTTGTGGGGAGGCAGCATCGCTGTCATGCTGGTTGTCCGAGGGAAACACCTTGCTGCTGTCACACCCCTCTACAGTCAGCAGTACGACTTCGCCCTCAGACCTTGAGTTGCTGCTTTTAGTCTTACCGTTCACCAATCGACCTGCCTGGCATGGTAGAACCTGCAGAACATATGTTCCAGCCAATATAGCTCGGTTGGGTCATCACGATAGGCAAGCCCGACCACCGCCTCAAGGTAGCAGCTTCGGTCGGGCTATACACCCACGTTTAGATATGAAATCAGTCTGGTTTTCTCGAGTTTGCTCTTTACGAACCCTAAGTAAGCGGTCGAAGTATTATTGAGACTAATACTTTAGACATTATATTAGTTAAATTGATACTTCTGTGACTGTCACAAAAGAATTTTTGTTCTTTCTTACAGACCGTGACTAATCAAATGGGATTGCATCCAGTTACCAGATTCTAGTTAAGATCTCAGTAACTTTTAAAACTGGACATCATGCTTAAAAATCTCAGGAGTTATCCACTAGGCCATGATTCTCTCCTTCGATATAGATTCGCTATAGCCTATTCAACTTCACTATGAGGTGGAAGATGTATGTCCATTCGTCATTTAGGTTGCTTGGAGGTAGTGAATAACTGAAGTGTGGCTGAAGGCGAGTTGAACTGTTTCCTAAAGTTTTCTTCCCATCGATACAATCTCCTGAATTAAGAGTGAACAATAACTCCGTCTTTTTCCGAGATAGTTTCACTAACAGCCCGATTTCTGTTACACGTCTCCTCGATAAATCTGAATAGTTGTCTAATGATAACTATTGCAGCTGCGTTTTTCGTATCTTCTGCTTTGGCTACCCAGCACTGCTCATGATCATTACGTATGCTTTTAATCAACCTACGTTTAAGCTGTCTCTGTTCCTCATCGTGTTCGGAGCCAGATGGGATTAATTCCCGAGGATCTATCAGTTCTTTCGACGTCGCCGAAACCAAATGATTTTTCCTAATCTTTCTGGTTTAAGTTACTAGTAAATATCACTGCTGTTCTCATAGTTTTTTGGACATCATGCACAGATATCTGGGGTTTGATTTCACTTTTGTGGCTGACTAACTCATCTAGTTTTTTTAAAAATATATTTTAACTTTTTCATCATTAAGTTAAACTAAGAGACTTTTTCATTCTGAATTTCTACGTCTAGCAAGATGCAGACAAATACGTGCTCGAAATAGGGCATCATTTGAGCCAAGACATGTGCTCCAGAACAGGCAACAGTCTTCTACCGAGCTCCTTGAACGATGACAAATGGCAATGTAGTCCATTTGAGTCCATCGATGAGTCGATCGTTGGGGTCGTCACGTCTGACGATGTTTGAAGTTGCTTATTACTAAAATCAGACGGAAGACGAAAAGAAGAGATGGCTGCAAAATATCGTAGAGTAATCGAAGTCAAACATTAACGCCGTTAGATCCCAGTTCAGCGCAAGACCAAAAGGTCTTGGGTTTGAGTCCCGCGTGTGGAATCGTGGATGCGCTCTGGAGAGGAGTGCCATATTAAGACGAAACGTCCATCTAGTGCTTCTAGGTTTTTAATGAACTGATTTAGATCGGTATATGATTTCAACAAAATTCAACAGTCTCCTCGACCCCATACTGAAAATTAATCTAAATTCGTTAGTTATGAAGTCGACAGCTGATCTAAGAAATATTGATCTTAATAAAACCAACCATACTTCAGCATATGTTCCATCAGTAACCATGGTTGGATTGCCTGATTCAGGATTTTTTTCAGAGATCTCCATTCTGTTAACCTGCTCTTCATTATTTTTTGTTACAAAACAATCCACAGGCTCAGCGTTCATTTCGTCAAAATGCGCTACTCGGAACGCACTTAAATATTCGTCAAAAGCTGGAACAGTCTCTTCGGAATCAGCCATCATTTTTGAACGATCCAGGAGTTTGGAAATAGCCTGTGAATCATATACAATTCTTTGATAAGTATCTTTCGATTCAATCTCTACAAGCAGAAAAAGGGACACATGTAAAAGTACGAGCGGGGGGTCGAAGTTTACTTAAGATACGGATCACCTTTCATTAGTGAAAATAATCAAAATAATCAACGTAAATAAAACACCTTATAAGTCACCTACAAATAACAATGACTAGTTCTAGATCCTAATAAAAAGTATGTTTTTGGACTGTAAACAAATCATCGGAATATTTTTTATTACTAAATAACGTTTGGCAACTTATTTGATCTTTGCTCCCTCGGTATAGAACAGATACGAGAAATAAGTGAAGTAACATGGTATTCTGAAATGTTTTTTCGCAGGAATGAGAACACTAGATGCTACTTAAAAATACATATTGATTAAGAATGATTACAGTCATAAACAAATATAGCTGATTGTGGAACCACCAAGTGAGTAAAACTGAAGATAAGTAAAAATACTAGAACGAATGCTGAGGTAATGAACCCTCAGCGTCTGCGTTAACTCATAACTAGCCACCACCTACGGGGTAGAATAGGAACAGGTTTGGAGACAGCTGAGCAGTTCAGAGAAATGCAGGATGAACGAAGTTCCCTTCTTTTTGTATATACCTTTAAATTTAGTGTTAATTCACACCTTGGATTCTTGGACATCACTTGTTCCTTTTGAATTATAGTTATAGCGTTTAGTTTGCTACTGCAAGTGTTAATACAGTTTCGCATGTTCTGCTCTTAAACCTGATAGTTATATTCATTTTGTTGATATAGACTGTGGGGACTTGGAGCATTGTAGCACACTAAAGTATTCATTAGTCACTCGAAAAAGTAGCAAAATCGGGCCTTTCATAAAAATTAAGTCATTATTGAGGGTGGAACTAAGTGACACTAATATTATTAAACATCAACAAGCAAGTGTGGTAGAAAATCCATAACTAACCAGTTCAAAAATAAAAGGTTAGGCAACTATAATATAAATAGACGTACCATCTACTCGAGCCGCATCGTACAAATCCTTTGTAGTGTAAGGATCATCTGTGGCAAACAGAGCTTCTACACCTGAGCGTAATAGTTCATCCATTTCTGAACGTGATAGCCGGCTCACTGATTTAGTATTCGATTGTGTTTGTGTTGATTCTGCAAGATTAGTATCTTGATCAGATCTGGAGACGCAATCTTGGTTAACTCTAGAGTTATCAAAATTTGAGTCTGTGTTTGGTGCGTTATTGTCTTCAGTCGAGTCATGTTGACTTGATGCGGGAATCGAAGTTCCCAGTGCCTTTGGACGTTTCTGATTTTGATTGACAACTAACTGAGTAAGGGCAAGTTTACGCCTAGCCACCTGAGATATTTTCTCTTCAATACTGTGACGTGTTATGAACCGATAGATAACAACATGCCTAGACTGACCAATTCGATGAGCCCGAGAAAGCGCTTGTAAATCACACTGAGGATTCCAATCAGAATCATACAGCACGACCTTAAATTGAAAATAAGATAGAGAGTGTTGGACACATATGATTAATTATAAAACGAGAATACAAACTTTTAAGGTCCCATACATATAGACTGGTCGTACGCATAGACCAATGAAACTACATCGTAAATTAAATATTAAATGCAACTACAAGGCGTAAATGATTGTAATATTAAACAAAACGATTGAATGATCGCATTCTAGATTTAATTTTCTTACTTGAATTCTTGTAATCACAATCAATCGAAAATACTAGAGCTTGTCAGGAAGCAGGTTGACTTAATAGACCATGATGTAGTGAAGGAGAACAAAGGTGAGGACAACCGAATTGTATTTAGCACAAAATTACAGAGTTACTTGGTAAAATAGAAAAACCATATAGTAAACCGTTAATTTGCAAAATATCAATGCATCATATCAACCTGGACTGTCCCTGTTTGCAAACATCAATCCATTGTCTCACATTTCATTATTCATGCGTTTCCTTACAAATTGCATTGTGTTGTCGCTCTTCCTTTCTTGATCTTCCCCAATCTTTTGCTGCCAGACATTGCGTTTTTAACTCGCGTGATATACTACTTACATCGCTACAAGTAGCACGCACCACAACGATACGGTAGCGTAAGCGAACTGTGATTTGCGTCACCTTGAAACTAACCATTCAGAGTGAGGCTTATGTGAGAGTGTAAAACACGATAAATCTACGGAGGACTAACAGCTTCAAAATGGTTAATTAAATTATTAAACTTTACCACCCCTATCTCAACACTTTAATCCACAACAAAATAATTACTCAGTCTATCTAAAATAATAAATTTTATCAAAACCAAGATATTTAGAAACAAGGTATCTGCAATAGAACTTAACAATTACGCTAATACTGAACATCGGCGAACGAAAATTTGGTTGATCACTCTAAAGTCAATATTAAAGTATCATTTTAACACATTACAGGAAGAGTAAAAAATATATACTGGGGATTAGTCATGAAAACTCTGCCTGTAGCTTTTATCGAGTTACTTCCGGTCCCAAGCCCGGGTAAGGTAGAAGGGTTAGGCATGGCATCAGGAACTCAATTAAGTAGGAAACAATCTTGCCAAAAAAACGCTAGTCAAAATAAACCATTTAAACTTTGCCCTCCGAGCTGAAGGATTTTCATTCAGAAAAATTATGATGCCTCATGGTGAAAGCCGAGATTCTCCGGAAGTCACGAGGCCAATGCCTCTTTTAACGACCAGAGCAGCAATTATTATAGGTACATGGAATGTCCAGACAATGTGAGAGACTGGGAGGACCAATCAAAAAGTTGCAAGAACGAGATACAACTTGGTGGTGCTCGGATTAAGCGAAACCCAGTGGATCCAAGCTGCACAAAAAGGCTACGTTCCAGAGAGATGGAATGGACAACACTAGGTACCAAGATAACATGGGACGACATGGACTGACTGAGAGAAAGGAATGAGAATGGGTAGAAATGTGCAAATTTATGTACATTTAACAAAGTGGTTATAGGAAGCACTATATTCTTTCACAAACACATACACAAAGCTACATGGATCTCACCGGATCAAAAAAGAAATCTAGATCGACCATCAGAAGGCCAATGAGAGATGTGAGAACAAGGAGAGGAGCTGACATAGCTTCAAATCACCACCTGGTAGTTGACAAGATAAAGTTGAAGCGAAAGAAGCATTGGACAACTGGACAAACAGCATTACAAAGGTTCAACACAGCCTCCCTTAGAGATACTGACAAACTCAACGAATTCAGGATAGCTCTCAATAACAGGCACCAAGTCTTACAAGATATACTCAAAGAAGAAGAAACTACTATGTAGGACAACAGGAAAGCAACCAAAGAAGCACTAACTTCAACGTGTCATGAGGTACTAGACCGCAATAAGCATCATCATAAGGAATGGATCTCTATCGAAACCCTAGACAGCAATTAACAAAAGCCCAACAACAACAGAGAAAGTCAAGGCGAAAGTTGAATATACAGAAGCGAACAAGCAAGTGAAGGAGAGCATTAGAGCAGACGAGCAGAAATACATGAAAGAGTTAGCAACGACAGTGGAAAAAGCTGAAAGAAAAGGGAATATAAAACAATTATATGATACGACGAAGAACCTGACATGGAAATATAGTAAACCAGAGAGACTGGTCAAAGACAGAGGAACAGATGGACCAGCTCTATTGAATCCACCCAGCATCGAAGAAGCACCTAAAGACCTTCCTATAGATGTCACTCCACCAACGATCAAAAACATCAAGATGGTCATCAGATAAATCAAGAGTGGGAAAGCAGCAGGACCTGACAATATACTGGCCGAAGCACTAAAGTCAGATATAGAAGTAACTGCAAAGATGCTCCACGTTATATTCTGGAAGATTTAGGAGGAAAAACAAGTGCCACTAACATACTGGAAAGAAGGATACCTCATCAAGATACCAAAGAAAGGGAATCTTAGCGAGTGTGAGAACCACAGAACCATCACACTACTACCAGTACCAGAAAAAAAATTCAAGTGTTGCTGAATCGAAAGAAAGATTCACTAGACGTCCAGCTTCGAGATCAACAGGTTGGATTCCGTAAGGACCGGTCGTGCACAGACCAAATTACCACACTATGGATCATCGTTGAACAATCAATTGAATGAGACTCGTCGCTATACATCAACTTCACTGATTACAAAGAAGCTTTGACAGTGTGGATAGGATGACCCTTTGGAACATTCTTCAAAAACGGAGAACACTAACTTAAACACTTGATGGGAAAGGCGGAAACTTTCACGTAACTGGGCAGCATTCCTATAGTTGAAGTGGATAGGAGACCTATTGAGGAAGTCATCAGATTGTATCATGAATCAACTGCTAACTATGAATTCTGAAGGGAAACGGAAAAGTGGAAGGCCAAAGAACGCTGCATCGGGAATTGAAAGCAGGTATCAAAAGGATGAATAGCAACTGGTAAGGAATTTCCAATGCATAGTTGTATGGAGAATGCTGGTAGGCAACCTATGCTCCTCCGCGAGGAGTAACAGTCGTAAGTAAGTAAGTATTAATTGGCCATGAAGAAATGGACAAGTAGTTTATACAGAGAAGTTTGAAAAGTAGATTTTCCAAGTGTCTGGAAAAACAGTGATCCATAAGCGAAAGCGGTTTTCAGTTTAAATTTTATGGCATTTTTATAGCTTACTTATGCATCCTCTCTTAATCTAAAATGTATTTCGCACAGCATAACTCAACTCATTAATAAAACAATATAACTTATTTACGGAAATAGTGTAATACGACAATGAAAGTTGAAGAAACTTTGGATGAAAATGATCACCAATTACTGATTATTAAATTTTTAGGACAAAACTCCCACCATGATAGTGTATGTAATGCAAAATCTACATTCACCAACTCAAACTGATTACGATACAGACATCCACTAATACGTCTATGAGTTCAGCATCAACAAAATATTTAAGTTGACCAATTAATATGCTAAACATGTCTCGATTAATGAAGAATTTCGAGTGCTAATTTTACTTTGAATGAAATAAACATCAAAAAATAAGAATTCACTAGTAAGCAGTGAAAAGCAAAATAATGAAGGTTTTCTTCAGTACTATTGTGGTATATGCTACTTATATTGGCAAACATAAGTAGCATGTAACACCGATCAGAAGTGAACTGAAGAAAATAGAAAGGAATTGAGAAGCGGACGAAGCATGAAGGATGTAAAGTACAATTTATGGAGGATTCTCAAATGAAGTATTTCATGCATGGTTTGCACATTTTATCAAAGAACTCCGTAATTTTGCGTTAGATAGTAAATAGGTTATCCCCACCAAGTCTTCGTCCACTGCACTATTATCCAACACACCTTTACTGGAAGTAAGGAAGAAAATATGCTGAGATCCGACAGCCAACCAGCGAAATTCTGAATGGTTACTATTTTCAATTTATATCAATTTTGAAATACAGTTGATTACATAAACTATATTCAATTAATAATAAAAATAAGGCTACTCTAAAGTGGTAAATAATGATTTACTGTATCAGCTGAAGCAAGATTGATTCCTTCTCCACCGGCTCTAGTAGACAAAAGGAAAATGAAGAATTCCGAGTTGGGAGCATTGAAACGATCGATAGTAACCTGCCTTAAAGGACCTCGCACACGACCATCAATACGAACATATTTATACCTTTTGAAATAAAGAGAATGAAAGGTAATATTTCTATTCAGTATACTACAATCAAAACGATTCTGGCACAACAGTACAGATTCATTTAACAATAAGACATTTTAAAACATTTGTTAAACGCTACATGTTTTGCGCGTAAAACAATACGAATTCACTAATATTGCTACTTGATTCTAACATGATAAAAATAATGGATATAGGAAAAGAGACAAATACATATTCTAAAAAAATCTCTCCAGTTCCATAACTCATGAAAGCTTGTAGTGGCTCAGCTAATGCACGCGAGCCATAGAATGCAGAGGTAAATTAAGAGTCAGATAGTCAATTAACAAGTTTCAAGCACATATATATGGGAAAGCGAATGTATCATAGAGCGATATTTAAGCAATTGATACATAACCTAGAGAGACCAATACCTGCGTAGGCTGTCACATGTGATCTAGCACACATGATCATACAGACATAATAATAATGCAGATAGATAGACAGACAAACAAATTGTTGCTGCTCGAATAACTGCCTGTTAAATAAGTTAATCGAAAGGCTTAACAAAATTTACCGTAAACAAACTTAAGTATAGGAGAGTTGATATAACCTGACCTTCTTGAAACAATTCATTCATGATCAAAAAATTTACAAGACAACCATTATATTTATTAACTATAAAATCAAATATTCAGTGATTCACCTCCCCTCCCATCTAACCTGTTTGGTTTTTTTCACCATGGTTCATTCTACTTTATCATGTGTTATTTAGGACTAAAATATTCAGTTAGTAACATGAAATATTAACTGGTTATTTGGGTTAACACCATTGTGGTGTGTGCTACTTACATTGACATAGGTAGTATATGACGTTACTCGTGAACAGGTCTGGCAGCAGAGAGACAAGAGGATCGAACAGTAAAGAATGGGAACAGAATGCAATTTGTATGAAAATGCAAGAACAATGAAGTCTGAGTCATTATGAGACAATTGATGGACATTTTGCAAATTACGTATTTACCATTTGATTGTTAGGTTTTATTAACAAGTCCTGTAATTCTGTGCTAAATACATTCGATTGACCTATTCGTGTTCTGTTCACTAAAACATAACTTTAAATACACCGTACATAAAGACATAAATACAACACATTTCTTCAATAGTTGTTCCGGAACAGTAGTATATATATCACCTAAGTAACTAGTATTCGACGAGTAGTTTGTAGAGTTCAAATTTTGCTTGAAATCTATAATAGAATGTAACTTTTGATCTCTCACGCTTACCGTCAACACAATACGAAATTAAAATCTACTTATGTAGCACTGATCCGATATTAACATAGTAAACCTTTTTTCCATTGCGGAAGGTCTAACGTCTCAAACAAAAAACATCTACATTATTAGTGTTAAACTTTGATCGTGTTATTCTTATTAGTTAATAACTTAACAACTTAAAAGAACATTTCAAAACTTGGTAACATGGTAACCTAGTGCCAATCGAACCACAGAAAGTCAACAAGGGTTTTTACAAATAATGTTATTTCAACATCTGCTGAGATGTAAATTAATTTACCTGGTAAACATCAAATTCTCGGCACAGTTAAAAACACAGTAAAGTTGATTAGGTTGAATAAACTGGGAATTTGATAAATTCTAATTTTAGAATATCGAATGAGTTGGTTAAAAAAGTTAAAATATATATTATTTTTTAAAAGAAAACACTTACCTGGCATTAGTCAAAACCTCTTCCAATAAATCCAACATCATTGTGAAGCGGGAAAAAATCAATACTCGATGACCATCAACAAACAATCCACGAAGTAATTCCATTAATACAACCAATTTACTGCTGACTTGTACCAAAGCTCTGGGTTCGTATGGCCCATTTGTTTCGTCGTTTGGGTTTAAGCGTGGTGCAATAGCATCTCCAACTTGCATCAAATATGGATGATTACACACCTTTTGCAAATGCATAATACTATTTATTAGATTTCCACATCGTAATTCCTCATAATTATTTGTTAGAATATATTTATAAAGACGTCTACAAAAACAAACCAACATATATATCTATATCTATATATTGATTAGCGTGAGACAATGATGCAATGATATTTTAAGATTGTAATTTTAAAAGGACCAAAAAAGTATTAAACATGAGACTAAACTATAAAAAAATCACTCACCTCTGAAGTAAAGTCATATCAACTGGAACAATAATTTCAGTTTTCTTTGGTAAATCTTGGATTACATCGCACTTTAATCGCCTTAATAAATGATGCTTGAGTAAATCGTGGAGATTTTTAATACGATCAGCTTTTGGCATTTCAGCCCATTGTTCACTTAGTGCTCGAAAATCACTTTACATTAGAAATAATAAATAAAGAGTAAATACTGTGTGACCGTTAGAACGGAAAGCATGAAGAAATGAAAATAATTTTAGAAAGGTAAAATATAATGGTTACTATAATGGGATAAAATCTATAAGTTAGCATTATCTGTGAAAAAATAATCATCAGTTACTCTGATAAACTTATTATTCACTAGAATCCTAAATTTATTCATCGCCAATACGGTTTTGTCTACTTATCTTCATTCAGAGAAGCATAAAAAACAGGTAGAACCATTATGGCGATATTCAAAAACATTCTAAAGTTTCTTAATACTAATAAATAAACATAATGAGATTGAGCATATGTACTCAGAGTAAATCCAGTTTGTAAGAATGTGGTTCAAAGTCAAAAACTTCGAGAATAATGTGATGTGTATTTCGATCCACTGAAATAAACTTTAACACAATAATTTTCTTAAAATCTATGAAAGCCAAGTTTTAGCGCAAATTGGAAAAATAATTGAAACTAATTGGTGCAAAGCCCAAGAATCAGGCCTGATGATCAAGTCTTAAATCATTGGGAAGTAAGTGACCTACAAAATCGTTTTTTCTAATTCCCCATGACACTAGCATGTTGACTTTGTCTTAATATGTTTTAAATAAGTATATAATATTGTATAGAAAACTTATAATTCTGGCTAGTAGTCTTATCTTTGACTCCAAATCATTTAGAGGCTTAATTCAAAAGATGGGTCTAGTGAGCATCCACCAGTTAGTCACAATTTGTACCATTGTTTATTACCTATCATTCAGTGTTCTCTTCTGCATTTGAACAATCGATAAAGCACTAAAATCCTACTCTGTAACCCTAATACTAAGAGAAATATCAGTTAGTTTAGGTATGAACATGAATGGGAACTTATGAATAAATAATGTCTGACAGTAGAAGACAATGGTTTCAGCACATATGACGAATAAACCAATTGGGACGGAAACCACTAGGCCAAACCGAAGAAATGATTTTTTAGAAGATTTGGTGTCATTTAGTGGATAATTGTGGTTGATTGGGTTTCTTATTGACATTTCTGTGTTCTCAAACATTATCTATCAAATTCAGTAATGTGGATATCTGCTACTTCAAGGAGAACCATAACAGCAATTCACATAAATAACGAAAATAAAGATCATATATTTTGAGATGGTGGAGAAGATTTGTAGCTCAGGTGGATGATTTTGGTGGTGTTTTGTTCTCTGAGCTGGATGGTTTGGTCGTGGAGCTTTCATCGTTCTTCTGAACGACATCATCAGCACAAACTTCAGATAGAAGTGAAGTGTTCGAATTTCTCCATATGTGTTTCACAGCTTGTTCTGTGCACCTCGATGTTGATTGGTTCTTGTTGACCTTAAATTTATCATTGTTTACTTCTTTGTTTTGGTTGTGTCTCCCATTGGTTTGATTTTTGTTCCTATATTTATGCATGATTTTCCTGATTGGTTGATAAATTGGATTGATTTCAATATGTTTGTTGATTGCTGATTGACCTGAGTGCCAAGCTTCTAAAAATTCTCTGGTGTTTTTGGAGTTTCCTCTGTCTAAGATTTCTACATTTTCCCAATCGAATGAATGTCCGTAGTTATCCACGTGTATTGATATAAGTGAAGAGATATCTTGGCGTTTGACTGCTAATTGATGTTCATGTAGGCGTAGGTGGAGGGGGCGTCCGCTTTGTCCGATGTAGTGTTTGTCGCAGTTGGTACAATTTATTTTGTAGATGATGTTTGATTTGTTTTCCTTTGTTATAAATTGTACCAACTGCGACAAACACTACATCGGACAAAGCGGACGCCCCCTCCACCTACGCCTACATGAACATCAATTAGCAGTCAAACGCCATGATATCTCTTCACTTATATCAATACACGTGGATAACTACGGACATTCATTCGATTGGGAAAATGTAGAAATCTTAGACAGAGGAAACTCCAAAAACACCAGAGAATTTTTAGAAGCTTGGCACTCAGGTCAATCAGCAATCAACAAACATATTGAAATCAATCCAATTTATCAACCAATCAGGAAAATCATGCATAAATATAGGAACAAAAATCAAACCAATGGGAGACACAACCAAAACAAAGAAGTAAACAATGATAAATTTAAGGTCAACAAGAACCAATCAACATCGAGGTGCACAGAACAAGCTGTGAAACACATATGGAGAAATTCGAACACTTCACTTCTATCTGAAGTTTGTGCTGATGATGTCGTTCAGAAGAACGATGAAAGCTCCACGACCAAACCATCCAGCTCAGAGAACAAAACACCACCAAAAAGATCATATATCTTAAATAAGGAGGAAAACTCACGTGAATTTTTTCGGTTCAACAAAATTTAATAGGTGAAATAATTCTTCTAAATTGTTTTGTAATGGCGTTCCAGTTAAGAGGATTTTAAAGTTAGTATGATACTGACTAGTATCTTTGAAAAACTACGAAGTGAAAATAAAAAAACAATTCAGTGATGCATAATACAGAAGGTCGAATAACAGGAGTGCATAATTTTTACTACTTATAATCCACTTGTATGATGGAAATGTTTGACATTTTCACTAATCAACTTTATGTAGTTAGTTGTTTACCATAAGATGAAGGATGTAAAAACTCATAACTATATAGGGATTTAGTGTGACCCGATGCGAAATTCCCGTATGTCATAAAATTTATCCGCTTTTGATGTTAATGAGTTTTCAGCTACATGGTATTTTTCCAGAGCTTTCATTGTCATTATAGACATTAACAGACTTTACTTTATGTAGTAGATTCTAATGATGCCAAAAACGACAATGAAAATTATACAATCGAACCATCTACTTCAAAGAAGACAAAAACATCAAAAGTAATCACCTGGGATACAAATCTTTCTTATCATTACACAATTTATGTTTTGCTTAAGATTCAGACTTCACCATCATCTACCTAAATGATTAACGACCGAATGCTTGTTAACGACGTGTTACTTACTTACTTACACCTGTTACTCCTCGTGAAGGAGCATAGGCCGCTCACCAGCATTCGCCATCCAACCCTGTCCTAAGCAATCCTTTCCAGCTCCTTCCAGTTGCTATTTATCCTTTTCATATCTGCTTCTATTATCCTACGTAATGTGTTCTTAGGCCTTCCTCTTTTCCGCTTCCCTTCAGGACTACAAGTTAGGGCTTGTCTCGTGATGCAGTTTGACGATTTGCATAATCTATGTCCTATCCATTTGCATCGTATTTTCCTAATTTCTTCTTCAGCTGGAAGCTGATTTGTTCTCTTCCACTAAAGACTGTTGCTGATGGTATCCGGCCAATGGATGTTGAGTATCTTGCGAAGAAAGCCATTTATAAATACTTGTACCTTCTTGATGGTGGTTGTTGTAGTTCAGTCAGTCAGTCAGTAACAACGTAGAACTTCGTACGTACGTACATCAGTTCGAGTTGCCACACCACATTAGCACAGAGATGCAGTTGTCGATTCAAATCCCATAGTGGTAGAGGAAGCAGTAATAGGGAAGATTAGGGTTTGGAGATGTTATTTAAAGAGTATAATCCAGTGAAATAAATTTGGAAAGAGGAAAAAAGGGACATGAAGAATTCAGAAGATTAGAATTTGGGAGAACACAGAGAGTGGATGCACCTGCGCCATTGCAAACGATTTTGAGCCATGTCATTCAGGGTTGTTGTAGTTCTCCAAGTTTCAGCTCCATACAGTAGAACTGCCTTGACGTTCGTATTGAAGATTCTCACTTTGATATTGGTTGAAAGTTGTTTTGAGTTCCATATGTTCTTCAATTGTAGGAATGCGATCCTTGCTTTGCCAATCCTCGCCTTTACGTCTGCATCCGAACCTCCTTGTTCATCGATGATGCTTCCCAGGTATGTGAAGGATTCTACATCTTCCAGAGTTTCGCCATCAAGAGTGATTGGATCGCTGTTCTCCGCTTTGAATTTGAGGACCTTGGTTTTCCCTTTGTGTATGCCGAGGCCTACTGATGCAGAGACTGCTGCTACACTGGCTGTCTTCATCTGCATCTGTTCGTGTGTACGTGATAGGAGGGCTAGGTCATCTGCGAAGTCCAAATCGTCTAATTGATTCTGAGCTGTCCATTGTATTCCGTGTTTTCCTTCAGATGTTGAGGTCTTCATAATCCAGTCGACCACCAGAAGAAAGAGGAAGGGAGAGAGTAGACAGCCTTGTCTGACTCCGGTCCTTACTTGGAATGCATCTGTCAGCTGTCCTCCATGCACTACTTTGCACTGTAGTCCGTCGTATGAGTTCCGGATAATATTGACAATCTTCTCAGGAACTACGTAGTGTCGAAGAAGTTTCCATAGCGTCCTCCTATCCACACTGTCAAATGCCTTTTCATAATCAATGAAGTTGATGTACAGTGACGAGTTCCACTCAAATGATTGTTCGACGATAATCCGTAGTGTTGCTATTTGGTCTGTGCACGATCGATCCTTACGGAATCCAGCTTGTTGATCTCGAAGTTGGGAGTCTACTGCATCTTTCATCCGGTTTAGCAACACTCTGTTGAAGACCTTCCCTGGTATTGACAGTAGTGTAATGCCTCTGTAGTTCTCACATTTGCTTAGATCTCCTTTCTTTGGAATCTTGACGAGGTGCCCTTCTTTCCAGTCCACCAGTACTTGTTCCTCCTTTCAAATCTTTTTGAATAGAAGATAAAACATGTTTGTAGTTACTTCGATGTCTGACTTCAGTGCTTCAGCTGGTATGTTGTCGGGTCACGCTGCCTTCCCGTTCTTGATTTGTCTGAAGGCCATTCTGATTTCTTCCTTCGTTGGTGGGTTGACGTCTATGGGAAGATTTGTGTGTGCTGCTTCGATGTCCGGTGGATTCGTTGGAGCCGGCCTATTCAGGAGTTCCTCGAAGTATTCTACCCATCTGTTCCGCTGTTGTTGAATTTCAGTGATTGGCTAGCCTTCTTTGTCTTTGACCGGTCTCTCTGGTTTACTGTATTTCCCTGATAGTTCCTTTGTTGTATCGTAAAGCTGTCTCATATTTCCTTCTCTAGCAGCTTTTTCCGCCGTCGTTGCCAGTTCTTCCACGTATTTCTTCTTGTCGGCTCTAATGCTCCACTTTACTTGCTTGTTTGCTTCTGTGTATTCAGCTTGTACGTGGAATTTCTCTGCTCGTGTTCGGTTGTTGTTAATTGCTGCCTTCTTGTTCTTCCTTTCTTTGATCTTGTCTAGAGATTCTATAGAGATCCACTCCTTATGATGGTGTTTCTTTTGGCCCAGGACCTCTTGACACGTTGAAGTTAATGCTTCTTTGATGCTTTTCCAGTTGTCCTCCATAGTAGTTTCTTCTTCCTTCAGCAGATCTTGTAAGGCTTGGAACCTGTTGTTGAGAGCTATCTTGAATTCATTGAGTCTGTCAGTATCTCGAAGGAAGGCTGTATTGAACCTTTGTAATGCTGTTTGTCCAGTTGTCCAGTTCTTTTTTAGCTTCAGTTTTAAATTGGCTACAACTAGGTGGTGATCTGAAGCTACGTCAGCCCCTCTCCTGGTTCTCACATCTTCCATTGTCCTTCGGAATTTTTTGTTGATGCAGATATGATCTATTTGGTTCTCTGTAGTGTGGTCCGGTGAGATCCATCTAGCCTTGTGTATACGCTTGTGTGGAAATATTGTGCCCCCTATGACCAATTTGTTGAATGCACATAGATTTGCAAATCTTTCTCCATTTTCGTTTCTCTGTCCCAGTCGTCCCATAATATCTTCATATCCGGTGTTGTCTATTTCGACTTTGGCATTTAGATCTCCCATTAGAATGGTGAGGTTTTTTCTTGGGCATTTCTCTATGATTGGCTGCAGCCGCTCGTAGAATTGATCTTTAATGTCGTCGTTGCTATCATTGGTGGGTGCATAACATTGGATAATATTCATTGTGATCCCCTCCTTCTTTGTTTTGAATGATGCTTTGATGATTCTGGATCCGTGAGATTCCCATCCTACAAGTGCATTTCGTGCTACTTTGGACAGCATTAGAGCGACTCCCTGAGTGTGTGGAGCGTTTTCCCCTTCGTGACCGGGGTATAGCAGCATCTCTCCCATAGCTAGCCTTTTCTGTCCAGCTTGGGTCCAGTGGGTTTCACTGATTCCCAGTACTGCAAATTGTATCTCCTCATTTCCGTTGCTATTTGACTGGTCTTCCCGGTCTCCCACATTGTTCGGACGTTCCATGTACCTACAAAAACTTTTGCTCTGGTTGTTAGAAGGGGCATCGGCCTCGTGGCTTCCGAAGGAACTCGGCTTTCACCATGAAGCGTCATAATTCTTCTAAATGAAGACCTTCTAACTCCCAGGGCAGAGTTAAAATGGTTTGAATTATTTTTTCTGGTAAGCGTTTTTTAGCGAGTTAGTTTTCTACGGGATGGGGACGCTAACCCCATGCCCAACCCTCCCCTTTTACCCGGGCTTGGGACCGGCAGTAACTCTAGAAGAGCTACAGGCGGACTTTAACGACGTGTATTATAGGTAATTTATTGAAGACATATCTCTACTATTGATACTCAAAAATAGTGCTTTCATATCGTGAAGTGGCTGATTTTAGGAAATCAAACTCCTGAAAATTGAGCCAGTGATCAGAAGGAAAGCTGATTGCCCAGAAAGTTCAGGGCTGTTAGTCTATTCTTAATAAAGCTACTCAAAGTTTCAAACTGGTTATTGTTGCATTTTTCAATATATTGTATAAATAAAGGAAATGGACACACAGTAATTGCTTTACGTACACGAGACTGTTTATTTTTCAGACGGTGAGCTTCATCCACAACTAAAGCACTCCAATCAAAACTCTTCAAAAATGAACGATCAATACAAGCTAATTCATGGCTGGTGATCAGTACATGGAACGCAGGTATTCCTCCAGCATTTCGTAAACGAAATTCATATTCTCTAAAGAAAAAATTGATTAGTTAGACAACAGAGAGTAGTTGAGAAATATTTAAGCAATGAGTTTATTAGTGTCAGATATCCACGAATAAAATGGAAAAACTGACGAATTAATCAAGGTACTATACTTTATTTTAAGACAATGATTTTTAGCGAATATATTAACTTTAAGCACAAAGTTATCTTTTATCGACGAAAAGAACCTGAATCAAAATTATTTTAAAGTGACCACATAATTAAAAAAACAGCCAACCTCAATAGTTGCATAGGAGAAACAATAAAAATCGTTTCTTTAAACCAAAACTCGCAGACAGCGTACGTTCACAAACTTTGAAAGAAGTAGAAAAAATACTTTTTATACTCAACTAATGTATTTCCTGATCCACTCAAATTTGCATATAATCTCAACATCGCTTTTTATGCGGTGTAGACTAGCAAACACCAAGCGCAGCTTCTGTATTCCAGATGAAAATTCAGTAGTAAGCATCTATTCAGGACTAACGCAACCTAAATGATTTCGCTTCACATTCCTAAACTAGGTACCATTGCAGAAAGATCAAGAACAGCATTTCGTATATAACAGATCCAAAACTCATGGTGAGAATTTTCAGGGTGCCCTTCAAAAATTTCAGAAGACCATGAATGTAACGTCTTAGATTAATAGAATCATTTTATTAACATGCTTCAGATTAAGCACAAGAACTGTGGGTCAATTACAAGTATGTCAGTGAAAAGGCTCAACAAGAAGAGTTAGTTTGGATATTTTTATTCAGTTAGCTACAACGTAGAACCAGGCACACATATGCATCGGTTCAAGTTGCCACACCTCATTAGCACAACAAGATGAACACCGAATTCATAGAAGTAGTCACTCCAATGGTAGGAACGTCTAAAAGAAAGAGTGAATACAAGGAAATAATATAGGAAGAAAGAAATGTATAAAGCAATTTTAATCTAACGGTTTAAGCAAAGACAAAGAGTGTATACACCTACGCCATTGTGATCGATTCTGAGCCATGTCACACAGAGTTTCCAACCATTGGTTACGATTGTCACGCGGACCCCAAGCAAGTAGTCTGCATCTACCAACATGTCACAGACTAAAAGTTAGTAACTTCAAAGACTGGTGCCATGCTATGGTTGGGTCGCCCCTTACTTTCTTCCAAACGTTTCCAACACTTGTCAGTATTGCGCGTCGTGGTACACGGATATTTTTAGTGGATAACGCTTGTTGTGTGGTGTTTTTCATGATAATTTTTAAATGGGTAGTTAGAAAATATTACCTTCAGTAGAAAAATATGTATCTTCTGACACTACTTTTAAACATTGAGATAATACTGTGATTTCATAGATATTTCAAAAGCATAATACACATACTGACTGAGACACCGAAAATTGCACACAAACTCACCGAAGCAATGCACGAACTTGTTTGTCGCCACTGTAAACAACGATGTAAAAATCAGGTGCCCATATCGAAAATTCCCTCTCCCAATTCTGTAACGTTGACAGAGGCGCCATTATGATAAATGGTCCATAATCATTCTCCTAAATAAAACCCAAATTACCGATAGTGAAGACGCAGTTTGGCAATCTATCTGTATTTTTACAAATAAAGGTAGCAAGTATTTAAATTCGATTTTATCGGATCCAAATGTTCGAATACTACTTATTATTATTACATGAGTGAAATGCAATAAAATAAGTCATGATCATTGGTACTAGGAAATGAGCAGATTTCAAAACCAAATGCAATGCGTTATTGGGTTATTTCACAACATAGAAAACATCCATCCACGATAGCAAGTTTTGTCGATTGGATGGTGAAATCTAGACATCAAGTGGTCGTTTTCTTTTAAGTACCTTATGAAATAGAATTTTACTAAAATATAGAAATAACTATTTCCATTGAAGTACTGGTGCTTAAGTTATTGTGGAATAAAATATTATTATTATTGCTCAAAACCTCAATCCTCGTCTGATAAGATTTAAGTTATCTAAAAAAGTCTATTTGAACTGCTAAGATATGTGGGCTATCCTAAGATTAACTTCAAGAAGCTTAAGTTTTGTTTTATTGCAAGGGTCACGCTAAACATTCGCATAATTAAACATGAAGTTGGACTGTAGTTATCATTAATTGAGGAACTAATTACATCTTTTATGTTCTACATTTCTTTATTTTAGTCTGGAATATTAACCGCTCAAATGGGTCACTATTCGTTCTAATAACAATATGTGTTGTGAAACTTTCTGCCCCTGTTAACTGTTTATTACTTGATGTTCACTTAGAGAAAACCAAAAGCATTCTACTGAGGCTAAATGAAACAACTGTCGTACTCATCTTCACGTAACGTATATAATAATCCACTAACAATTGCGACGAAAACATTGACATCATGGTGTGGAAAATGCACGAGAAGCTGGAGCAGAAGTACGAAGAATAGTTAATTACTATCCCATTGAACTGGATGAATAATGAAAGGTACTGCATGACATTTTACAACGACAGATGCATTTTAAGATCCCAAGTACGAAACGAAACCTAAAATTACAAACTAGCATTAGGTTTTTTTATCAGTAATCCTTTTAGTGTTTCTTGGTAAAATAACATAAAACCAAGTATAGCAAAGAAGTAATAACCACCACATACTTCCTTCCAGAGTGAATATAGTAAAGCTATCACTTGTACAGTTTTTCCCAGGCCCATTTCATCTGCCAGAATAGCGTTGATATTATTATGATATGCATGCCATAACCATCTCACACCTTCTATTTGATAAGGATGAAGAACTCTGTGGTGAATTGGGGACAAATAAGAAGGTTGTTCATCGATCCATTTTGACTAGATCAAATAAGAAACGAAGTTAATAACTCTACATAATATCCAGAACAACATCTCGTATCATATAAGACAAAACGGACCCGCAAGAAGGTCACATAAGAGAATTCACTTATTTAACTTCCCCAATTTTCCCGGGATCATTTCTAATCAACAATTTTATATTTAGAAAAAACTACAGAATATTCAACAAATGTGGGATATGTGAGGCTACAGCTTAGTCCCTTCGAATCATCCTAAGTTGGATGCATAACAATAGGCATCATACGTAGTCTTGTAGAGATGAAGGACTACTGGAATAAGGTAATTTCCTTAAAAAGTACACGTTAACATCCTCAGATTTGACCTACAGTGGTTAAATGAGTACTAGAAAATAAGTAGCTGTCTAAAACGAAGTACAGAAGATATAAGTATGTAACAAAATAAAGAACATACTTTCCAATTTCCGGTACTTCTATTCTTTCTTCCCGGTGTAAGTTGATTTCCGTATACATCACATAGTATGGTCGCAACACGAGAGCAATATTTATCAGCTAGCCTAATGATATGTCGCCTCACTAGACGTGGTAATAAATTGCGTCCGCAAGGATCAAGAACTTTGTATGCACTTTTTTGACTTTTATGATCAACTCCACGAGAGTTCAAACTCAATATATCTGATTCAACTGTCTCCCACGTTGCATAAATATACGGCAAATGCAACCATTTGACAAGGACTTCTCTATATTCTGGCCACTTCATTGTATTAGGTGGTCGATTAGATTTGTCTTTGCTGTCTATTCCCTCAACCTTTTTAAACCTTTCAGGAGTGAATGAATCCCCAACAGCTAAAACACGTTCAGGAATAAGTGTGTGACTTTCGACACCCCATCGTAGAAGATAGCGACGACGTGAACCAGCACGTTTCGGATAATTAGCAATCCACCTTTGGAAACAGAAAGTAGAAAAATACATTGTTTCTGCAACAGAAAATTCAAATAAGCAAGTTAAAGATATCTAAGTAAATCCTAAAACATATAAGGTACAATAACTACGATCATTGTGTATTTTGTGTTACAAATGAAAGTGGAAACAACTACATTACTTTAATATACTATTAGCGATCACAGTAGTTGAGAATTTATGAGCTTACAAATTGGCTAGGAACAATATAAACAGATTATTGATATACTTTTATGCAATGACAATTTATTAATTACGAAAATATTTACGGGGTATACATAACTCATGCAAGGTAATTTTGTTATAGGAAAAATCGAGTTAGTAAATTCTTCGACAACACTGAATAAATTAATTACACCAAAGGAGGTCCCTTGAGCACTAAGGATCAGAATAAATAAGGTTCAATATGATAAATACACTAAGTGATACGCACCCACTAGCGAATATAAACCAGAATTAAGTGAAAACTATAAAGGGGGAGTAGCATAAAACTGATAGCCATTCCACATTTGAATTAGGTGCACAGATAGCTTAAACAGTAACTTTGGAAAAGACCATACTCTGAAAAACTAAATCAAATCAACAAAAGAAGTTATTTGGAGAATAAAGTTTAAGACTGAATGTTAGTTTGAATCATCTACTTATACACAAAATATCTGCCAAATGGTAAATAAAAAAATGATCAGGTCTTTGGTGCTAGAGAGATCCTGTTCAATAAAAACAAAAGATTACAAACAAGCTAAGAAACACAATACTGAAGTATATTCAATTTTGTGATACATTTGAAACGTGCAGGTATGAAGCTCCACTGATTTACTATCAAGAGCTAATCAGAGAGTTATTAACAAAAACAAACAAAGGAAAGAACACATACAATATCGTCCATATTTAAGCTTACTCATTAACGTCCAGCTCAGCATCCTTACTCCATTTTCTTAAATTATCTTCAACGTCACTCTCTTCTTCACTCGAATGAGAAACCAATGTTGTTAGTTTAGACCCAGAGTTTGAGGCAATATCATGATCTCCATTCTCTATTTGGCTACATTCATGATTTGGACTTAATTTGGAGCTATTCGGGTTTAGCTTCTGATTACTGGTATTCTGTTTATTCCTGAAATAAGCACGTATTTTACTCGGGTTAAGGGTGAAAAGAACTGCTCCACTCATCCATGCACAATGCCAGTAGGACTGATCAATAAATTTAACAAAATATTCTTGTTCAACGATTTCTTTGTTGTTGGATGAAAAGCTCCTTACAGCTTCACTGACTATAATTTAAATAAAAACTAATTTGAGCAATTAAGCATAAAGCTAAACAGAAGTATAAGATTAAAAGTAGAACATATTAGATGATAACATGAATTTACTAATTTCATAAACAAATAAAACCGCTAAAAAGCTTTGGTGCGCACGTAAAAAATTATTTTCCCGTCTAGTGAATCAAAAATTTTAAAACAATTCGTGCAAGAGAATTTATTTTCACTATAACAGTATCTGTCAATGATTTCCAAGGATATCAGTTAGTTGGAGTTAGGTTGGGAGGAAATTTAGAGAGCTAAATGTTTATTAAGTGAAGATTGTCTGATATCAAGGAGCAAATAAGTTCAGTCTAGTGACATTTTTATTCCCTTGAATATCTAGGCTAACGCTAGTGAGGTGATCATTAGAGGGATACATAACTATTCATTGTTTCTTGCAATATATAGGTGAGGTGTAACCACTTAAAATAAATGTGTCAAACACACGCATTCCAGCATAGCTTTCCTAAAACATGGCTTACTTAAAATTAAAGTTGAGATTGATCGTCATAAATTGTTACACCATTCGTTGGAGAAAGAACATGAGTACTTTGTTCAACCTCATCTATTTCAACAAATATGGATCAAAGTGGTGAAACTACTTGCGTTATACAAAAATATGAAGACTAAATAATCCAATGATTTAAGATGTAAGGAATTAATAACATTAATCGCAGTGATATGAGCAAAAGCACGAATCTAGCTAATCCTATTCTATCGAGATGTATAATGTTTCCTGTTCCGTAATGAGAAAATTTGTAATTTATGCAAAACAAAAAATGTCAGAATACCTTGAAAGTATGCTCGATGGGTTGAATGTTTCTGTAAATATTATGTGTGAGTTATAAAAGTTGTAGATCCATTTATAAAGTTTCATAATTAAAAAGGTCAGGTTTTTCATCATTATTTATTTGTAGCATATTGATTTTAGAGCAATCACAAGGGATTTTAATGAGAAAGGAACTGAACATTGCGACAGGAACATGAACACTTCCACTCACTTAGATAACATAATGTGAACAAAAATCTCGGTTATTTCATGATATTTATCAGAAACATTTCGAAATAGTCATTCCACTTAGTGATAAGCATTTTATAGTGACTAATATCAACAACTTTTAATAACGGTTAAAATTATCCAAAACCCCATATACTGAGTTCTTGTTATTTAAAAACGAAAAATAACTGCATATACATCATCTTCAGCTTTAAAACTAACGAACATTTAAAAAGAATTATTCAAATACGATTTTTGGTATACCAATAACTTTTAACACTAAATCATCAGATTGCTGATCTAATGCACCGCTTTTGTCGGTATTCAATATACCTTGTTTTGCTTGCATTTATTATAAATCATTTCATAAAACGGCTACACATTTAATATGTAAATTCCTCGGTATAAAACTGTTATAACTTGTGAACCTGTGTGCCCTGTATATTGGATAACGCAACGATATCGCCAATCAGAGAGCAACGAATTATCGATCGAATCAGTGACGCATAAAACACGTGCGAGCAGCCTAGACTCTTGATTGGTCTTGCTTCCTGTCTAGCCCAGCCAGTTAAGTCCAGAACACCAATCTCAGCCTCTGCAATATGAATAATTTATTCCAAACATACTCGGTTTATATACCAATCAAACAGACCACAAAGTACCATAAAATATGAAACAACATTTGTACAATATTTAGTCAAAAGTGGCTGTGAATGAGGGAGATAGTAATTGATAGACAGTCGATAATTCAAGAATGGTAAATCGTATAGTAATAGTCTATCGGTCAAATTAAAGCTTATAATAAGAGCGACATGAATATGAACAGTTTAGTTACATAACAATTAGACGATAAAAATATACTCATAGTAATAGCCCATAAATGGACCCCAAGAATTACGATTCATTATTCTTATCAGGATATAACAAAAACTTAGACTATTTAAGAGTCTGATGTGTTTACGGTAACAGTGTTAAATTTAACGACAGCTCTGTTCCTCCCTAGCCCTGACTACTCCAAGATACAAATCTTGTAAGGGATGTTCATTTGGTAAAGACTTGGGGAAATTTATTTATATGCAAGTTCATTCAACCATATAACGACTGAATTACTAGTTACATAAATTATCAAACTGAACAATTGTCACGAGAACGCAAAATCACAGAGAATTAGTACAATGAAAATGAACTGCAAATTAAATGAACAAAAATCACAACGGATTAATGAGAACTGAAAGTTGATGAATAAAAATCACCTTAAATCAAGACGTGAATTTGAAAACTGACTTCATGCTATACTTCAATTAATTTCCTTGATAAACTTGCAAAATAAGAACAATGTCGTGTCTTGGGATTTAACATCTCCAACATAGTAGAAATGTGGTTTTCTGAAAACAACCATCATTTCGCTATTGAATGAGCTATAAATCCTACATCTGTATAATAACAATCCATTACTTGGGCCATGACAACGAGAATTAAGCAAGTCACTGAATTTCAACTACAACCGAATAACATTGCTCAGAGATTGATTAACAATTCATTGTTAATTTTAGCACTTACATACACTTCATGTATGAAATGAAAACATCATAAGATCTACTAGCGAGACATACAACCGGAACAATTTAAATATTACATATCAACGTACCACGTTTAAACAAATAGAAAAACCTGACTATAGGCTTTTCAAAGTAAAGATAGATAATTAGCCGGAAACATGATAGCACAAAAACGTATGGACCAACATACTATACAGTATAGTAAGTTATATAATTCCCCTGTTATATGAAAGTTTTACACGAACAAATGTCTTTTATGAGCACGAGAAGACATGCTAGAATATAAAACTCGTTATGTTTAGGCTGATCTGTTGTATAACTTTTTAGTTTTAATTTATGTGGTTCAGTAATTAAAATTTCCGGGTTTCCAGTAGTACTTTTTGTGTGAGTGCTAACGACAACACCCGGTTTCACTAACCAAAGTCGCTGGGATGGGATTGGAACACAACGCCTTTGAAAACTATCCATAATAAAAGTTTTAAGGAAAAAGTAAGTACGATTACTCACTCGCTTTCGTAATCTTTGAACTCTTTAATTTACGATTCCCCAATATTTGTTCTACAGCAATCTACAGATAAGAAATGAGATATTTGCAAATTCTTGTAATTAAATTAGTCGGAAAAATGCAAAATAAACTTTTTGTAGAAGTGCAGGTTATAACAGGAGTCAGCAGATACTTTGATATTACAAGTATTCACACATTCCTTATAGCTCTCTAAAAACGCTTTCATAGTCCATTTAGTACAAAATTAAAGCTCTGACTGATTAGAAGAATCAATCATTCATAACAAAAATTACAGTTACGTTGTTTAACTCAAAGAGTAAAAAACAAGTTTACAAAACTTCTGTGCACCAAAATATAGTCAGAATTCAAAATAAGTTGCTCGCCATCACAATACCTAGTATTTACCAAAAACTAGTCGAGTCAAATAGCTCCCGAAAATAATTGTAAATATATCTTATCTAATAAAAGTGAGACGACAGATGGATATACAGGCTCGAGTTAAACGTTTTGCATGCACAGCGAAAGTAATTGTAATGAGTCCCTTTCATCGAAATCAGTCTAAATAAAAATTCATTTGAAATGGGCTGATCATAAGTACGTAATCGCCTACGAATACTATGATAAAATAACATTGTTCTTCATCAGTAAGTACACCACAAGCCATTTTTAATGCCTCAGAACATAAGGCTTTGACCACATAGCACTGCAACACTATGCAACGTCCGTACGTTGGACCAAATAGAAAACACGTAAATGGCTGAAATACTTTATCGACAAAAATTCACTTTGTTAGAAGTATCTTACCCATGTATTAATTGATTCTCCTTCCATATCTACATATTGACTAAGATCATACTCATGAAGAGAGACATCATCACTCAAGAGCCTTTCCCATTCGTCCTCTTGTATCTCGACAAATCGTTTTCTTATAGACCGTCGAGGTCTGAGGTTTTTATGCTGTAAAGTGGATGAATCATCGTCCTCAGGGAAATATGAATGGGTTTGATCTGGCTTGTTTATGTCTCCAGAGAGACCGTCTTCCTGTTGACTAGAGGATTCTGGAATCTGCTTTTCATGGAATGGTGTATCATTGTTCAGCTCATCTGGTCTTTCAGGTACCGAGTAGTCGATTTGTTCAATTGGTGCAAGAGTATCTGATTTAGTCTCATGTTCGTCGTCGTTTACATCCATAGGTATACTTGATTGCATTAGAAGAACGTCGCACGGTTCGTTAGTACTGATAGGATCTGATTCCATTAAATAAATTTAGTAGCAGTCAACAAAAAATAGACATTCAGACATTTTAATTCAGTCAATCATCCAAAACCAAAATAAAGGATCTTTGGTCGCCTGGTTTGCTGAACTTTCACATACAAGTCAACCAAAAAGTAAATAATGATTTGCTCTGCTGTCCGAAAATCTTTCAGTATCTGAAATCATCAAAAACATATAATCTAGGAAATGAAGCTCCTAAAATGTGGATACTAAAATTGTGGATCCTTAATATACTCGTGAAAGAATGAGTCTAAAAGGGAAAAATTCAAATTAACAGAGACTTATTATTTTTCATTATTATTAATGGCTTTATTCAGTATATTTCGGTACAATTCGGAATTATCAGCACGAAGTATTTGAACAAGTTTCTTTTACGAAAAAAAACAAAGAAGGAAAAAGCTGAAAACAATCTGAATCTGTACAACTTTCCAAATAAGAAACATGCTTAAGAACACAGGTTATTGACTAGCTTAGCTCTAACCTGTTCGTCATAGAGTATATTTGCTAGGTAAGGTAATATAGAACTTTTACACCTTTGCTTGCGTGCATAGATTTTAATGTATTTACATCTCATTCTACGAGGAGATATACAAGGAGAAAGGTATGAGTGATGGGGATGGTTAGTATCTGTAAGATAACACCTGCCAGGAGTTTGCAAGACTTTAGATGTCTATCCACAACCAAATTGATTATGACCTCGAAAGATTCACCACACACTGCTAACTGCCTTCAGAACTCTCTGCAATACAGCAAAGTCTTTTCTCAAGAGCCTAGGAGAGAATAATGGAGAACAGTAAGGAATAATAGGTAATATGCAACCCGTTTATGTAGTAAGTTAGACGGAAAACTTTCTTCGATAACAGTAAAATATGAGAAGACCAAGAGAGATCAGGGGAAAACGTAACACCAAGATAATTGGCCTTCGACACTGGCACAAGCATGGAATCCCAAAATAGTGTTTAGGTGCTGTTCATATCTCCTGCTCAAGTTAACAGTTTTACATTTAGACGGATTAAGTATGAGACCATTAACACCGAACCACCATTCAAGGCGAGGCAAAAATTCATTCAATTCTATGGAATGTAGAGTTAGAAATCGGCATACATTCAATGAGACCATCCGTAAATTTCACAAGTGTCTTCTGTGGAAGATGGCAGACCATGCAGATAAACAGAAGAGGTGGAAGAACGGCTCCTTGTGGTACACCTTCATGAGACAACAGTGTACTGTTCCCTTCCAGAGGTAGGAACACAGACAATTGGTTATCCAGCTGTCAGTGTTGACGCTGATTAACTTGTTAGGTAAAAGTTGCCTTGGGATAGAATAGAAAGCAGAAGTATAGTCCAGAAAAGAGCATCGAACATACTTCCTACCATTTCCCAAGCTGAACACTATATTGTGATGTAGAACAGCAAGGACATCTAAGGTGCTTCTTTTGCATTTGTAAGCAAACTGATACAGATCAATGTGCTCTTTTATTGCAGGTTGAAGTGGGATTATCAATATTTTTTTCATTGGTTTGAGGAAAGGTGAAGTTATTGCAATGGCTTTAAATTTCACATTCTTACCACCAGATACTTTCTTAGGTATAAGGATTATATTTATCTTTCTCCACATTTCCGGTATGATATTAGTTGAGAAGGATCTGTTAAAGATACTTGTGAATGGACAAAATAGAACGTCAGCGCATTTTTTAAAGAGGTTCGAGATACCATCAGATGAGTTAAGTGACTAGAGACATTTTCAGACATCAGTTTCGGTGAAATTAGGAACACAACTATTCTTTAAACCTGTGGATATAAGGAGCATTACATCAGATGACTGACGTACAAAAGACTTATTTAAGTCACGAACATTCAGCTGGTTATCGCTTCTAATATGCCTGTCACCCACAAGTTCTTTAAATAGTTTTCACATTCTTGGAGAGTTCTTACAAGACAGGGGTTTTTGAGTAAACATAGAGTTGAGACGTCTAATCTCTAGGTTTATTAGACCATTTAGCTTACGAACTTTAATAGTTTTTCTCCTTGTACATTCTTTCTTTTACCCTCCGTATTCCTTTTAGTTGTGAAGATGTAAGTCGATCAACACTTACAAAAATGGTTTCAGTAAGACAACAAATATCAAAACAAAATTTAAGGTAACAAGTGTTAACATAAGTTGGTGCTCAGGTTTTCACAGGCATGTTACGCAAGTGTTCCATGAAAGATCTCAAAAGTAACAATTCAGAAAACTTTCAACTACAGTATCTTTACCAATTATTTAAAAATGTTATTCGAACATAGTCGATCCATAAATGCCACTATATTTTAATATAATCATTCACCAGAGTGGGTGTTCATTGATCCGAGTTGTCACACCCCACAACAGCGCAACAAAAGGAAGTACGCAAGATGAGAATATAACATATAGCAATACTGAAAAAATCTAAATATGAGAAGCATAATTCGAAAAATGCAAAGAAGCTTGAAGTTGTGAGTGACATTTATTTAAGGCCTAAGGAGAGACAGTGAATTGCCCCAACTGTGTCCAAGTGACAGGTTCCGTGTCATGTAACCCAACATCAGCAATCATTGGATGAGAGTATTTCATAGGCGTCAAGCAAGTCTCCCTCTACCGACGCGAATTAGACTGATGATCAATGGCTTAGTAGACTGATCGTGTACGTGCCATTTAGCAGGGTCATTGTCTTCCGACTCCAGATTCCAAATCATAAACTAGAATGGGGTCCAACTTCTTTGAATGTAGTGTTCACGGCTTTTGACTGGGATGTCAGATCCTGTCTGTTAACAGATGGCATCTTACCGTTAGGTTCCCTTGTAACGGAGTCGTGGGAGTCGAGCGAATGACTCACAACAATGTTTGATGAGGTCCTACTTTGGGATTTCGGCGGAGTAATCTGACATGCAGAATGTGTTCACCAAAGACTTTTCAAATAGACGGACGTTAGTTTTGACTATCTTGCCTACACTCCTACGTTTCTGCATTATCCATTTCCTACCAGTTGCAGCATCCACATTAGAGCTACTCCGGACGGTAATGATTTTGTCTGAATCATCAGTGGCTACTGTAGTAACTTGGCCATCAATATGTGATGGAATTTCGCTCATTAGTTGTTTCGGGACAGAAAGCTTAATTGCGTGTTGCACAGTTGGGTGTCTGGCATGTGTCGTGACAGCACTTACGACACTGACGCAATCTTCGCTATCAGTACCCATGTCACCAGTGTAGCTCTCATCAACATTTTATTAGCCAACACCAGGAGGCTAATTGCTTCCTGGACGAGTAATGTTTTGCTCTAACAACAAAACATACATGGCCAGTAAGAGTTAGGCCATGAGCATCTTTTATAAGCAGCGGGGCTAAAGCAGGTACACATCTTATGGAACCACTTCTTGCACTCATTATACTGCATCCTTCTTCCAAAGGGAATAAGCAATATGACTGTCCACATTTTTCAGCAGAGCCTAACATCTTAAAAACCAACCAAAAATGGTAACATGAGATGGATATGAAAAATACATTACCTTAAAGTCAACCAAGTATGCCGCGATGCAATAAATAGACAGAAGCAAAGTCAAAACGCACAGTAACAATATCGCTTTGACTGAAATAAATTCAGTTAGTGTGGACAGTAGTTTTGATGCGTAATTTACGTTCAAAACAGTAAATCTAACTCAAATATAGGCAAGGTAAAAACGGTAATCCCTTTCAAATCTGTCCGCCGTTTCGTTTCAACGACCTTGAACCCGCTGACTGGAAGCGGGCATTCCGTATTTCAATTGCCGTGTGTGTGTTGGGTCCTATGAGTATTAAATGTTTCCGTATATAAGTCATCTTTTGATGTATAATAAACACTAAATAACTGCTAAGAGCATTAACTGAGTATTTTCTGTTTTGTAGTGCACACTTTAGCTCTGTTATCCCTTCGAAACTTGATCTGTGGTCCTAAGTGCTGTAGTGAAAGTCAACAGCTATATATAATTTGTTGATAAGGTCCAGAAAACAACGTAAGAAAGATAAAATAACGTAAAAGGTTATAGATGCGCATAGTTTTTGTGAGTTAAGACGGAATGTCAACTGAAGGGTAAGTCCTAAATATTTGTTGTCCTTCCTTCAGTTAATTTTTTTCAAGGAATAACCTTTTTTTAATAAATATTGTATGTTGTCTCTAGTGCTTCATGCTCAAGTGAAATTTCAGTGAACGTAAGCGACGCGTTCCAACGTATTATGCTGAATAAGAGATTGGGAAGCTGGATTGAATTAGATAATGCACTAGCAATACAGAAATTGATGTGTCATGCAAAAAAGCCTGTTAATAGCTGATAAATAACGACACAAAAAATCCACGACAATATGTAACGTGTGCGCGAAAATCCGTGGCTTACCCGCCAGTCCGTGCCCAAATATACCACCACGACCTTTAAATAGCGCGCGCGAAAAACGAGACAAAATACGTGAGTTGGGAACCAAGCAAGCACACTAAACGAACTTACAGATAAAACGAAAACAGTAGACAATAGTTATTTAAATGAACACAAGCCTCGCACTGCGACAATCTTGTAATCGATATCGGAAGCAGATAATTCAACCTGCTACAGAATGCAAGTTGCCTAAGAAGCGTTAAATATATATCGATAATACCGCGATTATACGGTTTGCCAAAAATACACAAACCTGGCCTACCTCTTAGACCGATTCTCCATATGTCTGGATCCCCTTACCACCCTATAGCAAAGTGGTTGGTGAATCTCTTAGAACCCGTTAGAAAACTCATTTGGAAACATTCTGTACGTGATACGTTTAAATTTATCGAGCACATAAAAGAAGTGAATGTAAGTGGCAAAATTATGCTATCTCTGGATGTGGAATCATTATTCACTAATGTCCCACTTACAGAAACCATTAATTTTATCTGCAAGTACATAAACAATACTGAGATAAACATTGGGATACCTGAGGTTTATTTGAAGGAATTATTA